TTTTATTGGTTCTTCAAGGACATTCTTTTTTTAAAATTTTTTATTATTTAGAAGGTAGTGAAATACAATATCACAAGACAGAATAAAGCCAACTAAGGCAGTGCAGTGAAACTGGTACAGAACATCACAACAGGCTAGTGGGATAACAGTAATAGGTACCATAGTATATCTCATTATCTTCACAGTAGTTGTTCTTTCAATCAAGTATAGCAAAATCAAACCAGATATACATCATTATAGAACTTATCAAAATAATATTGAATAGAGCAATACAATTAATCAGAACAAAGCAAAACAGTGATAACAATATTTGCCTTCAAAGAGATGGTAGAAGGAAATCCCCCCATTTGCTATATTGCATATGGTCAACCTCCCAAGAGATGCTCAGACCTCTGGTTCCCATTTGCTAACGGGGGTGGGGAGGATGTTTGATTCTTAGCCCGCGTGTTCATGGCTGCTTATTAGGGAGGTGACATTCTTCAGTAAAATATGTGTGCATCTCTGTGTGCATGTGTGCACCTATGAGTGCTGGAAATGGAACTCAAAGCCTTGTGCATGTTAAGCATGTTCTGTACTCTCACAGTTTCTAATTGAGAGGACATCCTGATACAGAAACTATTAGTGTAATTTGGTACCACTACCTTGCTTTGAGCTAATGGGCTATAGTTTTATCTACCGTTGCATTGCACCCTCACTGCAAACATTAACACAATGGAAGAGACAGATAATATCTTAATATTGTTGTGAAAGTTTACCCCTTCAGAGAACTTTAGGAGTCAACAGACAATGTATACTTTGAGGCCTTTTCTTTCTTTAACTTTTAATTAGACCCTGCTCTAAGTGTTAAACAGTGAATCCTCATAGTAACTTTATTAGGTAGTTTGGTACTAGTGTTAGGTTCATTTGACAAATGAGAAAAGAGAAACAAAAAAAGTAACTTAAGATGATTCTTCTATTGATGCATACCAAGCAGTCTACATTTGCTAGCGAGATAAAGGGAGATAAGTAGAAGAGTGACAGTGAGGAAGCCAAGAGAAAAAGAAAGCATTTCAAGAGGGAGACATGGTCAATAATGTAAAATGCTGATGAAAAGTCAAGTGAGATAAAGCACTAGAAAGCTCCTTTGATTCCCCTCAAAGGGGATCATTGACGACTTTGGCAAGAACAGCTTTAGTGAAGTACAGGGCAGAAACCAAAAGAGACAGGGAGGAGAGCTGAGGAATGAGTGGGAGCTGGAAGAGAAGTCAGGAGGAGACAGCTTTAGTTATGAAGTAGGAGAAAGTTGGAGGATGCTAGGGCCAGGAAGAGTTGGAAAACTTGAATGTTTTTAAAGTCTGATGAGAAGAAACAAGCTGAGAGTGAAGCTAAAGATAATAGAAAAAATGAAAAATAAATAGCAATAGACAAAATTTCTGATCAAGAAGAGATGGGTTAGCCAGGCACAGCGGCACGCAGTTGTAATCTCAGCACTCCGGGAGTCTGTGACAAGGTCACAAATTCAAGCCCAGCCTGGGCAATTTAACAGTTAGGAAGATCTTGTTTCAAAATAGAAAGGTCTGGGCCTGTATCTCAATGCAGAGATCCTGGGTTCAATCTCCAGTCCGGGGGAGGGGGGCTCTAGTTATGGGGCAAGGATTCATTTTGGGTCAAGTGATTCTGATGCAGGAAGTTAAGGACACTTTCTTCTGTCTCAGATTCTTTTTTTTTTTTTTTCCCTGTCTCAGATTCTTGAGAATCTTGGCTATTTCTGCCTCTTTCCTCCTCTTCCTCTTACTCTATCTGTCACTGCTTTGTCTCGCTACTTTCAGAGTCTCTGTTTTACAGTAGTTTCTTTGGTGATGGCTACTACCTGTTTCCAAGTTGCCCAACATAGTGGGTGCTGAAGTCTTTGCCTTCCATGATCTGTGTTGTTCTACCTCTAGCCTTCCTATACCCTAAATTCATATTTTATGTTGGAGTTTCCCAAAGTGCTCACTTCAGTTCTCTTTTCAGTTTATATTCTATTTTTGTACAATCATATTCATTCCCACAATTTAGCTACCACTCAGTATCCTCATTCATTCATATTCATACTGTTCTCTTTCTTCCTGCACCTCCCTTATGTATCTCACACAAGCCTTTTTTTAAAGTTTTTTTTTTGCCTCCAAGAACTATTTCAGTTTCCTATAGATACTTCATGTTTAGCATGCATAAAATGAATCTGTCATTCCCAGGTATTTGTGTCATTCTCTAATTAGTTGAGAATTAACTAAATAACTAACCTAGTTTCCCAAGTTACTCCAGGCTCACTGACCATCACAAAGAGTCAAAGTCATATCTCAGCATAATTGTCCATTTATGGTACTTGCCATGTTGTACCCATTAAGAAACTAGTTCTAGACTTTGTAATTTACTGGTATATAGCTTACGTCTATCAGTGTCATTACAGCAAATCACAAAAAGAAGTATTAGTATAGCTCCTGTATTTGGTGTGAAAAAACAAAGCAGTACTTGATTTCATCTTAACTAACCCAGACTTAGATACACTGTTGCCATGTATTAAGACTGCAGAGAAAAGGCAGATGGGTAAGTAAGTTGGGGCCTTTAGATGCATCTCCCAAAGTAATAGGGGGGAAGTAGTAGCATTCATAGAGTACTGAACCCCTGCTTAGTCAGACCTTCCAGCAAAGATGAGTCTTCTCTGACAAACTGTTTTAAAACTTGGGTGGCAGATTGATCCTGGAGAAGATAGAAAATCACAAATTATCTTTGTTATTCAGTGTCATCTAAGCACAACAGTTTTTAAGCTGTGGTCTTGAACATTTTGTAATCATTTTAGAAATTAAAATGAGTCCCTGTTGGTGACTTCTAGAAAAAAAATTAAAATGAGAAAAATTAATGTTTATTGATTCACTTTAAAAATAATGAACTAGCCAGGTGTGATGGCGCACACCTTTAATCCCAGCACTCAGGACACTGAGACAGGAGAATCACCATGAGTTTGAAGCCAGCCTGGGCTACAAAATGAGTTCAAGGCCCGCCTGAACTGCATAGCGAGATCTTGTCTCAAAAATTTTTTTAATTAAAAAGTAAAAATAATGTGATGAACATAGTGATGAAATTTTTTTTTTGTCTTTTTCATTTTTATTGGGACCAGGGATCGAACTCACAACCGCATACTTGCAAGGCAGGCGCTTATGCTGCTGAGCTAAATCCCCAGCCCAGTGATGAAAAATTTTATGAAATAAAAGGTTTTTTTGTGGTACTGGGGATCGAATTTACAACCTTGTACTTGCCAGGCAGGCACTTACACTGCTGAGCTAAATCCCCAGCAAAAGTTATTTTTTTGAAAAATAACTTTAAAAATAAAAAAAAGTGAGAAGAGAGACATTATTTTACAGCTTCGTAAATCTTTTTGATACCTAGTAGCTGTGTCCTTATGTAGGTTCAGCAGTCTGTTACATGATATCATAAAACCTGTGGAAAACTCCATGGTACATGTGGCATTACTAGAAAGGTGATTACTAATAATTTGACTTTGTACATCTGCTGAGAGGGGTCCTGGAATTCTCCAGAGGTCTCCATACTGTACTTCCAGAAAGGTGGAGCCAGTAGAAAGAATAATGTCAGGCTATTTGGCACTTGACCAGCGTAGGTATATAGGTTAAAATGCCAGCATTTTGTGTGATGTAGAGTGAATTTTTTCTCGAAAGATCTAATTTTAAATTTCAGTTTATTAAAGTAATTCATTAAATGTATAGCTAAATCTATATACAGAATTTTTTATCAGAAATAAAAGTTCTTTTCCAGTCACATGTCCTTGGAAAGTATAGTTCATGTTGTTGGACAAAATGGATGCTCAATAAGTATCTGTCAAATAAATAAATGTTTTTAAGAGTCTTAAAGCTAGAAGTAGCCAGGTGTGGTGGCACATACCTGTAATCTCAGCAGTCATGAGGCTGAGGCAGGAAGATTGCCTTGAGTTTGAGTCCAGCCTGGAGTACACAGTGAGTTTAAAGACAGCCTGAACTACCTAATGAAACCCTGTCTCAAAAAAACAAAACAAAGCACTGGTACTCATAATTATTCATTTATTCTATTACTGGGACTGTCAGCATCTTTACTTTCATAAAACTACATAAAACTGGGTTTGATGTATACTGAAAGAAACTATACAGATTTTCCTAGAGCTGATGCACAAAAATTTCTGGTTGTGGAAACTAAGATCCTTCTTGAGGAACCAAGGAATAAGTTACTCAGTTTTCAAAGATTTCAAAGTTAGAAATGAATTACATCCAATGATATCATAGAATCTTAGATGGGGAGATCTTAGAAATCATATTATAAGCCCATCATTTAGATGGTGAAATGGAAACCCAAGAGATTAAATGAAATTTATTTGACTGGAATTGAGATCACCCCTCCTAAATTCCTTCTTGCTTTACTTAGGACTTGTGAAAATATAACTGTTTCCATAACCTTTAGGTTAAGCATAGAGATAACTGTGACCCAGGATTATTTATTTATTTTTGGTACATTTTAGATGTATATAATGAACATTCATCATAGGAAATTTGTACCTGTACATAATATAGCTTGCTTCTTTTCTTTCCCATTTCTCCTTCCCTCTTTGCAATCTCAGTCTGCGTTCAGATGGGCCATATTGAGTAGCAAGGATGTTAATATTAGGTTAAAAAAAAACAAACTGAGGTTTGTGGAAATTAAATAACTTGCCCAAGTTCATATATTCAATAAATAGTAGAATAGTGATTTGATCTATGTATATCAGACTGTAAAGCTCAAGATATATGATAAGAGAAACCAGGGAAGAAATGGAAAGAGGACGTATATTCCAGCATTTCTTAAATCAGTTGGTTTTCAAGTGAATCATTGACAAAATCCAGGACCAAATAAAACTGTTTTGGCTCCCAGTCTCTAGTGTTTCCTTCTTTTACTTTACCTAGTGATTCATGTTTAGCAAATCATATTTAGAGTTGACCTTTAGGTTTTCTCTCTTGCAGATTTATTGCCAAACCCTGTGCACTCCATGTTGGCATTGAGGACAGTGGTCCTTATCAGGCCCAACCCAATGCTGTCCTTGAAAGGGTGTTCATATCTATCACAAAGGTAAGTGAGCAGAAAAATAAGAAAATAGGGTGGGAAAGAATAGAGCACATACAAGAGAAAGTAAGGCTATAATGAATAATCTTTCACACTTGAGTTCTCTATATAACTGTAAGGAAAACTTTGGCATCTCAGGGAACTACCTTTGGACCACAGTTGCTAAAATGTCAAGTTTATATAGCTTTGACTTATAGGCTTAGCAGCCACCTCTACCCCTATCTCTCTTTTCTTTTTTGTCTTTTTTGTTTTTGAGGCAGGGTTTCACTGTTTAGTGCAGGCTGACCTTGAACTCATTTATGGAGGCCAGGGTGGCTGCAGTCCTCCTGCCTCAGCCTCCCAAGTGCTGAGATTATTAGGTGGACACCACCACACTGGACTATTTTGGGGTTTTTTTTGTTTTTTTTTTTTTTTTTTTTTGGTACCAGGGATTGAACTCATGACCTCGCATTTGCCAAGCAGGCACTTACACTGCTGAGCTAAACCCCCAGCCCCTATTTTGGTTTTTTGTTATCCTTTTTCACTCAGTTTGAGCTGGAGGAAGACGAACAAATGAGAATGTGGATATATGGGTAAACAATAAAGGTCCCTGAAGTGTGAAATACAATCTTTTCCTTCAAGTGATGTGAGGATAAAACCTGGGAAGATAAACATCACTTGATCTGCTGTGGTTATAACCCTTTGCCATTTATCTAGTCAAGGACATTTAATGAGGGGTTGAAGAGGAAGGGGTCTTCTGACTCTGGTCATACATCTACAGTATCCTGATCAGAAAAGGCTGGAGGGCCTGTCAAAGCAGCTCGATTGGGATGTCCGAAAAATCCAGTGCTGGTTTCGCCATCGGAGGAATCAGGACAAGCCCCCGACGCTCACTAAATTCTGTGAAAGCATGTAGGTGTGGAGAAGGAGGTAGGGGTGAGGAAGAGGGTGGGATACAAGTGAACTGAGGTTTCCTTTTTGGAAATTATTTATATTACTAGGATAACAGTCAGTGAATATAGAAGATGAACTCAATCTGTTGTAAGCAGGAACAAAGAGAACTGTAAAACTAGTTGCTCTTAGTAACTTAGACATACCGCTAAGCTAGCTGTGATTCCATTTTGTTCCTCTTTTCCAAATAGACTGGGAAAGAATTCTTGTAAATCTGCTTACATAGGTAGGAGCTCATGTCCCTATACACTGTTTGAGATGGTACCAGCTTGTTCTAAATTGACATTTTTGAAGGAGCTATATGAGAAATACTATATATTTCAGCCCACTGGGTTTTGCTTTTAACTAATTGGCTTTGGGTTTGGTTTTAACTAATTACCCTCTAGAAACTAAGCAATTTATTAGTTATGGTTGCACAATGAAAAACATTAAGCACTCTGATGAGAATCTGGTATGGAAGAAAAGTTAATTAAATTCAGTGTTACTTGTGGAAATCTATTTTAAACAAGGTTAGCTTTGTAGATAACAGTGTTTGTCCCTGTGGAATGATTTCTCACCAGTAAGAATTTTCTCCCCAAATTGGCTATCTTGATTTCCCTAGCCTCAAAGACTTCGAGTGGACATTTGTCTAACCTCTACACTTTGCCTACCTAGGTGGAGATTCACTTTTTATTTATCTGTATTCTGCTATGGAATTAGATTTCTCTGGTTGGTAAGTTTGAACTTTCCTTGGTCCTCTGATTGGGTTCTAATCATTCTTAGACCCCCAGAGACAAATCTTTAATTTTCACAGATTTTTTCTCTCATTATTCCCAAGCCCTAGTTTATATACTAATAGATTGTCTTCTGTCTGACTCTTGATTTCATTAAGTAAGTTTATGAGCCTGTTTCTCTCCTAAATAGTATTGATAATGATAACAATAATTAAATCAGAATACTGCTTAATGATTTACAAAGCACTTGACAAAACTTGTTTTTTTTTGAGAAAAATTGAATCAGTAACTCTAATGTGAGTGGAAATGATATTATTTCTACTTTCAGCAAATCATCAAAGAAGAGTTTGAATCTTTTTGATTTTTTTGTTGTTGTTACTTGCTGTTTGCTTTTTGTTTTGTTTTGCTTTTTGAGGCAGGGTCTTGCTGTGTAGTCTAGACTGGCCTCGAACTCATGGCGGTCTTCCTGCCTCAGCCTCTTAAGTGCTGGGATTGCAGGCATGTGCCACCATGTCCAGCATTAATTCTGATTACATTTTTCCCCGTACCACACTTTTTCCCTAGATGGCATAATCATGGACAAAGTGCGGCTGTGGTGCTTTCACTACAGAGCCTATAGACATTATTGAAAGGATAAGACAGTATTGTGAACAGTTTGATGGTAAATTTAACAGCATGGATGAAATGAACAAACTTCTTAAGAAGGTGTAATTGTGGAGATGATTACTTTTGAGCCTAGCATCTCTTCTTGGTTATTAGATGGAGTCCTTGTCTTCTCTCCCAGTACTTGCATTGCAGAGGTGATGTTTCTGAAACTATCCTGCATCTGTTCTTGCTCTTCTTCTCTGCAAACCATGGCTTTCCTATTTCTAATATTGCTTTCTTGTAGAAGGGAAATCTAGCTATTTATTGATCCTTTAGGAATCCCTAAAATCTATCAAAGGGGATTCTTTAGTCTTTTTATCTTTCTTATGCCCCTATCCTGGAGAGAAGAGGATTAGTTATACAAGATAGATCTTTTTTTTTTTTTTTTTTTTTAATGGTGCTGGGGATCAAACTCATAACCTTGCACTTGCCAGGCAGACACTTGTGCCACTGAGCCAACTCCCTGGCCCTACAAGGGAGATCTTGAAGCAAGCTATGTGAGAATCCTGAAGGCTAATCTGAATTAATGTTTTTTTCTTAGTCTCCTTGGTTCTGGGACACCCGACAGTGCTGGCATAATTATCCATTTCAGGTAGGATCTAAGCCATTTCATGATGCCCCTTGTATGTGTGTGAGGCAGGACGGGTGAGAGTGCATTGTCAGTCCAAGACAGGTGGCACATTTTCCTGATGTTCTTGAGGATTAGGGGCTGAGTCTCTTTGAATCATGTATGTAGGGTGTCTATTTCTAGGGCCTCCACAGCAGTTACATATTCACTCCATAGCAGTGAAATCCATTGAGCTTTTTAGTCCCAGCCTCTTCCATTGTATATCCATTTGCTGGTACTTAAAGGGGTGCTTTCGGTTCAGTTGTCTTTTTTGTACAAGGGCTACTTGGAATCCCCGTAAGAGCATCTTGGTTCTCTGTTCATTCCCCAGGAGGGAAAAGGGGCACTGTAGTTTTACTCTGTATTAGAAAAATGTCTATGTTCGTGGAGTACTAAAAAGAAGGGAAGCCCTGCTCATTTAATCCCCTGGAAAACACTAATTGCTCAGAATTCTAAGCACACCATTTTGATTTTGTTATATGTGTGTCAACCTTATCACTAAAAGCAAAGAGTTAAAGACATGTATGTGGAGGGGCAGAATGAAAGGGTTTAAGTTTCCATACCAATACAAAATCTTTTATATCTGTTTCAGATTTTAGGAGATGATAGGGAAGAAAGATTTCAGTAATTTGGAATATAGTAGTTATACTCCAAGACAGAAAGTTGCAGAGATAAAATTCACCTTTGATAGCTGCATTTGGGGCTGGGGATTTAGCTCAGCGGCATAAGCACCTTCCTTGCAAGTATGCGGTCGTGAGTTCGATCCCTGGTACCAATAAAAAGGAAAAAGACAAAAAAAAAAAAAAAAAAGAGAGATAGCTGCATTTGATAGCTGGTATTCTAACTTGTATTTTCTCTCTTGCAGCCTCTCTCAAAAGAGCTTTATTACTATTATATCATGGAACTGGCCTTCTATTGGTCTCTTATGTTTTCTCAATTTATAGACATTAAAAGAAAGGTAAGGACTTTGGTTTCCTCAACTTCTTTGTCGCATCATTACTGCCATTGTAATAGATTATTTTCCCTGACTGGAACCACAAAAGGAGGGTATGCGTGTGGTGGAACTATAAGTTTTTTGTCATGTTCCAAGAAATTAGACTTAACAAATGATAAAATATATTTCAGATGTTTACAGCAGCACAGGATGAGAACAATGAACTAAGATACTCTTATTATTCTCCCATGTTCTTATATATCTGAAACTCAGGAAGGTAGAACTTGGAGTCAAGACGTGATTTGGAAAAGGCTTGATTTCAGAAAAGTTAGATTTTTTAATTGTTACTGTTCTGTTTTGTTTCATGTCTCTCTTCCCTCCTCTGCTTCCTTCCTCATCCCTCAATCTCCCTTTTTGGTTACTGTGCTTTCTCAGAGAATGTCAACTGGAAGGGATTTTAAATAATATATTCTCTTGCTATTATTCAGAAATAATGATTCAGAAAACCAAGCTGACATGCCCACATATTGATAGAGTTGGAAATGATTGAGTTTATATAACCAGACAGAACCACTTTTTCACTGGTGTGTAACTGACATTAGGTGCTTCCAATAGCTCTACCCCCAAGTCGTGTGCCTTTGGTGAGGAAAACCAGGGTTAGCATTATAGGATTGGGTTGAAACTAATTTAGGTTAGTGTTGTCTAACATAGAAACTTGATACTCTTAATCCCAGTTTTTCACTTTCCTATGGTCAAGACACACAGGTCCCCTTATTAAACATTTTATTTTAATATATGACATTAAAAGATTGCTATATGTATGCGTGTGTGTGTGTGTGTGTTGAAACACAATAGAAGTTCAGTGTGGTAGTGTATGCCTCCAGTCCCAGCACCCAGAAGCCTAAGGCGGGAAGATCACTGCAAATTCAAGGCCAGTCAGGGCTACAGTGAGTTCAAAGCTAGCCTGAACTATGTAGAAAGATCTTGTCTAATAAAAAATAGGTAATACTTATGAACCCATAACCTCAAGAACTAGAACATCAGCCAGGAATGGTGATGCACGCCTGTAATCCTAGCACCTTGAGAGGTTAAGACAAGAGAAACACGAGTTCAAGTCAATCTGGGCAATTTAGCAAGACTGTCTCAGAATAAAAACTGGCTGCCATGTAACTGTGCTAAGGCCCAGAGTTCAATACCCAGTACGAAAATTTAAAAAGCAAGAACCAGAATATTACTAATAACATTGTATCAGTAGATTTTTTTGTCCTTGTTTCACTGACTCCTATTTACTGGCCTCCTCCTCCTCTGTCCTCTGTGCTAAAAAGTATTAGCTATGGGCTGGGGATTTAGCTCAGCGGTATAAGCACCTGCCTGGCAAGCGTGAGGTCATGAGTTCAATCACCGGTACCACACACAAAAAAAAGTATTAGCTATGTCTGATGACTCAAGTGTTTAAAAATTTTCTCTAGTCTAACTTACACATTTGAACCCAAGAGGAAATAGAGCCTTAAATGTGAAAGCAGGAAGTACTTAGAGTAAGGTGGATTGTTTAGCTAATAAGCATTTCTCGAAACTTTTTTGAAAGAGTTTGCCCTTACCCCTCCACAAACCTTCTTTCTGTTAGTGCCCTTTGATAGAAATGTCTTTAATTAAAGCAGAAGAGTCTTAGAAATATCTAAGGCTTGTGTGTCCCATTGCTACCTGGGAAATTACTTTCAAAGGTCAGCTCAGTATCGATACCATTTTTTGTCCTACGCTATGTTAACCTAGACTGCGGTTGGTCTCTGATACGGGAATTCTGGGTAAAAACACTAGGCAACTCCCTAAGAGAAGGTCTAAACTGTATGGGACATCTGTGTTTTCTTCCTTCCTTAGGACTTCCTGATCATGTTTGTGCATCACTTGGCCACCATTGGGCTTATCACCTTCTCCTACATCAACAACATGGTTCGGGTTGGAACTCTGGTCCTTTGTCTACATGATGCCTCAGACTTCTTGCTAGAAGTAAGAACCTAACCCCTCTTTCCTTATTATTTTTCTTTTTGGTGTGGGAATCCCAACTCAGGACCTTGCGCTTGTCAGGCAGACACTGTGCCATTGAGCTAAATCCCAGCCCCTCCTCATTCTTTCCTTTCCCTCTCCCTTACAAGGAAACCCTTCCTGGACCTCATCATGTTCCGGTGGGATTTACATTTGTAATCATAGGGGAAAGTTGTGGATTCTAATCAATTCCAGCCTACCACTTCCTGGGCAATCCATGGCTAGAATGAAGACACTCAGGCATATTTGTAGTTGTGGGGAGCCAAGTAGGTCCTAAGTCTAGCTAGAACCATGGCTAACGAAAACAGAACCAGGGTTTTACTAATTTGTGAAGAGGGGAGTGGCTTTGGGATGAGGACTGAGAGAAAGACAAGAAGTACTTGAGTGCTGTGAGCTAGGCAGGTAGGAGGCCTGAAATTACCTCTGCAATATGCAGAGAAAGATATACAAAAAGAGTAATCTGCATAACACAGACTAAGTAAGTATCTCGGATTTAGGGTCCGTTGCTTGTTACTTCAGCTCTGATTTGTAATCTTAATGCGTGATATGTCAGTCTCTTTCTGGAGGCTTAATCCCAGCCATCTTCACCTAGCTCATACATACTAGTTGGGAGTTATAGGCAGGGCAGTAAGGCCTGTCCATTGTTTCAAAGACTACACATCAACACCTCTGCTAGACCCATTTGTGTCGCTTAAAGCCAGTTGAGGGGATAAAGAAATATCCTAGCCAGCTCTGTACATACCAATACATGAAAATAGGGCCAGGTTAGCCAAAATGGGGACAGATGCTCTTCTTTCAAGGAGAGCTGTCCTGGTGGTCCTCCACACCTGTCCCTTTCTCTTCTTTTCTCTTCTTTTCTCTTCTCTCCTTTTTTCTTTTCTTTCTACAGGAGAACTTCTTCCCAACTCAATTCTTCTTTTGTCCAGGCTGCCAAGCTGGCCAATTATGCCAAGTATCAGCGGCTCTGTGACACCCTTTTTGTGATCTTCGCTGCTGTTTTTATGGTCACTCGTCTAGGAATCTATCCATTCTGGTAAGTGCTAGCCAGGGCTATAAAGCTGTAGTAGGTATTTACTAACACCTTTTTCCCAATTCAACTTTTGTTTTGTTCTTGCCAATGGAACATTAAAAACCCTGTTGCCCTGCTTTTTCCTTGTTTGTTTTCATTTTGGTCTGTATTATGTTTTTTGCTCACTTCTGCCTGAACTACATAGCAAGACCCTGTCTCAAAAAACAAACTAAAAGAAGTTTATTGATACATATTAGTTACACATAATGATCACATTCATCATAGGTAATTTGTACCTGTACTAATATTGACTCTTTTTTTTTTTTTTTACACTTTTGGTTTCTCACACCAGAAAAACAATGCCCTATTTACATGTGTGTGTCTGATTTATTTCACCTAGGAGTGTGGCCTCACAGTCCATCCACTTAGCAAGAAATATCTTAAGTCTATCCTTCTTTATGGCAGAATAATACTCCATTGTATAAAAAAACCACATCTTCTTTATCCATTCATCAGTTGATTGCCCTGCTTTTTCCTTGGACTAAGCTGAACCTTTGTGAACTCTCACAGAACGTTAGCTGCCCATCCCAGAGGTGACACTTTTCTTGCTTGTGTCCTTGCTTTGTATCTTTTTTCCCATCCTAATCAACACATGCCCTCACCTTTTCACTTTTGCATTCACTGCCTTATGGTACAAAATCAGGGACTATGGGTTAGAGATTTTGGTTAGCCAGAAACAGTCAGCAGCCTACCAATCACTGTATGCTTGCGGATCTAAATTATTACTGGGATCATAATCTGCTGTTTGAATTCTGTGAAACTGTATGTTTGAAGTGATTAATAGTGTGACATATTTCATCAGTTCCTAAAATTTATATTTCTTTCTCTATCCCTAAATATAGAAAACTCTAAAGCCTTATCTCTGTGTTCTTTTTAAAATTTTTTTTTTCTTTTTTGGTATGGGGAATCAAACTCAGGATCCTACACTTGCCAGGCAGGCACTTGTGCTGCTGAGCTGTATATCCCCAGCTCGTCTTTGTATTCTTTTCTCAGTGTAGATTAGTATCATTGGAGTTTTAACTAGTATAAGGTGTGAGGAGAAACGACCAGGGCTGTGTGTCCAAGGGAATTTAGCTTCATCCTGGTCTGCCTCACTCTGACTTTAAAATGTGACTGTTGGCTTCTCTCTTCTAGGGTTCTGAACTCGACCCTCTTTGAGAGTTGGGAGATAATTGGGCCTTACCCTTCCTGGTGGTTCTTCAATGGCCTTCTCCTGATCCTACAGCTTCTGCACATCATCTGGTCCTATCTAATTGCACGAATTGCTTTCAAAGCCTTGCTCCGGGGAAAGGTGAGAATGAAGAATGGCTTCTTTCCTAGGGCTTGGGGAAAGACGAGTACTGTTAACAGACCTCCTCTCCATTCAACCTGGTGAGCCCCTGCTATCCAGGCAGGCCCAGCAAAGGTATAGGGCTCTGAAGTTCTTGCCTTGACTGTGCCTTTTAAGATGTACCTTGGATGCAAAAGGCAGAATATAGTACTTTCTTCCTGTCTGTTAAGAATGGCTGTTATTAGCTGGGCATGGTGGCATATGGCTATAATCCCAGCATTTGAGAAGTTGAGGCAGAGGATCGCCTTGAGTTCAAGGCCAGCGTGGGCTATGTTATGAGTTCAAAACCAATCTGAGCTACATAGACCTAAGATTTTAGCTGTTTGCAATGGCCACACCTACAATCCCAGCCCTGAGGGAAGATTATAAATTCGAGTCCTACCTGGGCAGTTTAGTGAGATCTTGTCTCAAAATATAAAATGAAAAGTTTTAAAGATAGCCTTAACCATTTTCTGCTCTTAATTTTCTCCTTTAGTGGGCATTATATTTTAGCATGGAAACCTTTTTTTTTTTTACTCCCTCCATACTGGGGATCAAATCTAGGGCCTTATGCATGCTAGGCAAATGCTCTACCACTGATCTACACCCCTGTCCCTGAAAGACACCTTTTAATGATATAATTCAAATAGAATTTTTCAGTTCTGAAGAAGCCAGGCTGATGAGCTGAAGAGCCCTCAGTGATCCCAGGTTGATGGGTCTCTGCTGGAGGAGGTGTTGGTTCTCAGATCTGCTGATGATCTCATGTGTAGTGCTCCCTATAGTCACTTTCACAACTGGCTCATTGTGCCCGCCCGCACTTCTCACTGGAGCTACTGGACTTCTCTGTTCTCTCCTGCTTTTCTTTCCTGACCAGGTGACCTACCCAAGAAGAATTAGACCCAGACTCTATATTCTTCACTCTTTTCTCACCTCCTTCCTTTTTTCTATGCCTGGTGGAAGCTTGGACAGGCTCATCTCTCGCATGTAAGTGTTATCTGTGCTTCTAGTATTCGGGGAAGCGTGTCTGTCTAAACATGTTTCTCTTCTTTCCTGCTGTCCTGTCTGCTGCTCTGTTTGTCTGGGGGCTTTGCCGTCTGTCCCGACCTTATGGAGCCTTTGTTGATTGGAACTGAAGTTGCCAGATTCTTTTCCTAAATTAAGGCAACAGTTAAATCCGTACCTACCTACCTACCTTCCTTCCTTCCTTCCTTTCTTCCTTGTTCATTAGTTTCTGATCTTCTCTTTACCTGGGCTCTAGAATCACTCTGCCCTCTGGCAGAAATTTCCTAAATACGAGGTAATAAATTCACTATCTGGGTTCAGAAGTCAAGTGACTACAATATACTGTGGAATCACAACTAATCCAAAGCACATGTCCATCACTTTGGCAACAGCAGTGGTAGCTTTGTTCCTTTTTATTTCTCCCTCTACTGTTTTAATAGCACACATTATCCTTCAGTTCCAGAGGTTAGAAGTCTGTTACAGTCTCACTACCTTTTTCTCCTTTATGTTTATGATCCAGGTAGAGAATTTAAAATAGTTTGCTTGATATGCAGGATTGTTTGGATTGGGAAATACTGTTGTTATCCAAGCTCTTCACTTGAAGATACAAATATTTAGGGGATGTAGTTCAGTGGCACAGTGCCTGCCTGGCAAGCATGAGGCCCTGAATTCAGTTCCCTGTACCAAGAAAGACAAAAACAAAAACCCTGAAGAAAAGCTCAGGGTAGAAGGTAAAGATTCGCAGATGCTAACATAATTGGTGCTAGGATTTTATCTTCTTACTGACTGCAAATCAGTTCTTATTTTTATGATACCGTGTATCTGAGCATGCTAAAGTTTCATCAGAGAGTAATTCTGCTATTTGAAGATGTGGTGACATGCACCTGTAATCCCAGCACCTAAGAGCCTGAGACAGGAGGTTCGCTGTGAGTTAGAGGACAGCCTGGACTACAATACTGAGATTACCCTGTGTCAAACAAATGAAAGGGAGAGATTAGGAACTGATGTCATAGACTAATGATAGTGGAGTCCAGGAATAGTAGTACTGCTTTAAAAATTAAGAAACGAAGGGGCTGGGGATTTAGCTCAGCGGCATAAGCGCCTGCCTTATAAGCAGGCAGTCGTGAGTTCGATCCCTGGTACCAATAAAAAGGAAAAAGACAAAAAAAAAAAAAAAAAAGAAACGGGCTGGGGATTTAGTTCAGTGGCATAAGTGCCTGCCTTGCAAGTGCGCAGTTGTGAGTTTGATCCCCAGTACCGATTAAAATAAAAGATTAAGAAACAAAAAAGTCTGTTATGGATCAGCTTTAGGGATACAGCAAAACTCAGGATGACCAGTGTGGATAAATGCATTGTCCACAGCCGTCAGGAGATAGAAGTAATCAGTTGCCAGTCATATGTGTTGGCCTTCCCTGCTGTTTGAGGTAAGAGGGGAAAAGACTAGTTTCTCTCAAACCTAAACCAAGGCTTGGTGAATGATGTCAGTTTTCTTCTGCTTCTTCTGAAAGATAAACCCCTCTACCAATTTGGCTTCTGTTCCATAAAGAACAAGACAAGAGAAAAAATAGAGAGCAGGCAAAGGATATTCATAAGAGTAGCCACGGTCACCAAAAAGTAGAACAAAGTGGAACAGTACACAAATATGGGCGCCATGAGCTTAGTCTGTCTTCTCAATCTCTCAAGAAGAGTTCTGTTCTCACTTTCCTGCTGGTGGTTCCATTTCCCCCAGGTGGCTAAGGACGATCGCAGCGATGTGGAGAGCAGCTCAGAGGAAGAAGATGCAGCTCTCAGTCCTAAAAGCCTCTCTAGCAACAGCTCCAGCAATGGTGCCAACTGGGTAAATGGGCACATGGGAGGCAGCTGCTGGGCTGAAGAGTAAAGTGGTTGGCGTGGGGACTTCTGCAGACATGGACTTACAGGCTGCTGACAACCTCCTCCTTTGGACCTCCCCACATCTACACTACTGTGACCAAAGGGACTGCAAGGCACCGAGGAGAATCAAAGAAACAAATATTTTCACTTTTTTTTTTAGCTCTGCCATTTTGTATTTAATATCCTCCAGATCCTTTCAGTAATGTTATTTGCTCTGTGTGTGTTTGTGTTGTGTGTGTGTTCGTGTGTACATATGTGCATATGCATGAGTTCCATTGCCTGGGTTGGGGCACAATTCTGTACTGGAGCCACTAGGCCGTCCGTGTCTGAACCTTTTGAACCCCCTTCAATCCCAGATTTGGCTGCAGCTTGAACTGTGCTGTCTCTGGGCTCTTTCCCCCCTTGTGGCCCATGGCTCTTGAGACTCAATTCCTAGAGCATCTGAACGAAGCAGCAAGGTTTCTGCATTGTTCATTTTTGGGGCAGGGACTATTTAACATGATGAAATTGTATAGAAATAGGAGCCTTGGGTGGATGGCCAGAATTGCTGTGGTCCTTCGCTAGATCCCCTTCCTACCACCCAACAGTGACAGGGACAACTACTGATGCCCTGCTCTTTACTCGATGGTACGCAGGGAGGGCCGGGGGGAGTGGGAGAGCTGGGGGTTGGAGGAGAACAACAGCCACTGGGTGTGCTGTTAATGGTTTTATGCTATTGTTTACTCTTCTGTGATTAAAGTGCTTCAACCCTCTTCCACTTTTGTCCCAGCTTTTCAGTGACTCTGCCCCTAATTCTGTGAATTCAGCTAATTAAGAATTTTTCTGCCAGGTATGGCAGTGCCTATAATCCCAGCACTCTGGGAAGCATCGGCAGGGAGATTGAAAGTTGGCAATTTAATAAGACTCTAGCTCAAAAAAATATTTTTTTTTAAGAGCTGGACACGTGGGCCAAGGCTTTAGCTCAGTGGCATAAGCACCTGCCTGGCAAGTGTGAGGTCGTGAGTTCAATCTCTGGTACCAAAAAAAAAAAAAGAGCTGGACATGTGTCTCAGTGCAAATCCCCTGGGTTCAGTCCCCTGTCCCACAAATAATACTACTAATAATAAAATGTCTAGATCTGGTTCTCAGGACTTGAACAAATTTTTCTTTTCCATGCATGATGGTATTGACCAAGAGAGCCTACATTTCAGGGCTTTAGGTTTTATGCTTTTTTTTTTTTTTTTTTTTTTTTGTCTTTTTCTTATGCCACTGAGCTAAATCCCCAGCCCCAGGGCTTTAGGTTTTAAGAAAAGGTTAACATATTTAATGGGATCACAAAAACAGTGCTGAGCAGATAAAAGCATTTATATAGCAAAACTAACAAAGACTTTGGTGAAAACTAACACACCTTTAGTTAGGTATCTGTATTTCTCACCTTACTTATTGTAGAGACTGCCAGTTAACAAGGTTGTAAGCAGATATTGTCTCCTTTGTGATTTTGTCTTTCAACTCAGAGAAGCATTCATCCTAATACAGATTTTTTGCTAGTGAGGCCTTGGCAAAATTACCAAATGCAGTATTCATCTCCAGAGTAATTTTCCATTTAGTGCATTTTTAGATTACAAAAATATTTCTAGCCACGGTATACCTGGTAGTCCCAGTGCTTAGGAGGTGAAGGCAGGTGAGGACAGAGTTTGAAGCCAACCTGGACTACATAGGGAGGCTGTGTCTCAAAAAACAAAAGCCAAAGAAAATAAAAATATCTGCATGCTTTGGAGACTTTAGGACATATGGACATTATGTCATAGAAATGGCTAAAAATGGAAAGAAACAAATTATGCTAAGGACAAGATCCTCACCTGGTGTTCATTGACTTTACAGGAAAGTGACCCGCTTATGTTGCTGAGAATAGATTTTAAAAAGATTTACTGGGGCTGGGGATTTAGCTCAGCGGCATAAGCACCTGCCAGCAGGCGGTCGTGAGTTCAATCCCTGGTACAGATAAAAAAAAAAAAAAAAAAAAAGATTTACTGTTAGCATGGTAAAATTAATCATTTGATGAAAGCTAATCAGGAATACTAAAAGGTGTTATATTTAGTTCATCAGTTGCCATATTGTGGAATACACCAATTGTAAAACATGAGTGAAAATGCTTTTGAAAGGCAAAGTATCTCTTTTGCCTTTTGGAATTTGAACAGTTACTTTGTTAATATAGTGTGTTGGTTGGACTGGTGAACCTGGCAAAAGATACAACCAATGGATATGATAGTTTTTTTTTTTTTTTTTAGTTTTGGGACAGTGTCTCACTTTGTAGTGCAGGCTGGCCTTGAACTCACTATGTAGCCCAGGAGGGCCTCTTAATGACAGCAGTCCTCCTGTCTCAGCCTCTTGAGCCTCTCAGCTTGGCTTACAGGATATAGTAATTCTTTTTATTGATACATGTTTTTAGTACATTCTTGGTTACATTCTTTATGGGGAGTTGGTACGTGTATATATAACAAACAATTCTTTTTTTTATTTACTTCCCCTACCCTCTTCATTGCTTGGTCACTTTTCCTTTTGCAAAAGACCTATCTCCCTATTTCTGCTATCTTTTGATTTTGCTTTTACATTTCAGGTTTCTCATTAAGACAAACCATATAATATTTAAGTGCATGTGATTTATTTCACTTAATATTATGGTCTCAAAAAAAAATACATGGTCTCAAAGTGACCATTTTCTTACAGTTGACTCAAGTTTATACTTCTTTATGGCAGAGGAATACTCCAATGTATATGAATGCCACATTTTCTTTATCGTTCATCTGTTGATGGACATACAGGTCACTTCCAAGGTATAGTTAGTATGAGTTGTGCTGCTATAAACATGGGTATGGGTATATCCCTGTAACATGATAATCTTTAAATCTTCTGGGAAGATGCCCAGGAGAATGGTTGAGTCAAATGGAATTTCTAGTGTTAGTTTTCTGCGGAATCTCCATACTGATTTCCACAGTGGTTGTACTAGTTTACATTCCCACTAACACTGTTGAGGGGTTCCTTTTCCCCCTGCAGCTTCTCCAGCATTTGTTTTATTTGATTTCTTGAAGCTGGCCATTCTTTCTGGAGTAAGGTGGCATCTAAGTGTTTGTTGTTGTTTGTTTTAGTTTTTTGAAACAGTGTCTTACTATACAGTCCAGGCTGGTCTCATAGCCCAGCTCACCATGTGGCCCAGGTTGGCCTCAATCTTACAGTGGTCCCCCTTCCTAGCCTTCCGAGTGCCGGATTACAGCCATGTGCCACCACGCCTAGCTTTAGTGTTGTTTTCATTTGTATTTCTCCTATGGCCAGAGGTGTTGAACATTTTTTCATGTATTTCTTAGTAATTTCTATTTCTAAGGAGTATCTTATTTTGGGAGGACTAAGCTTTTGAGTTCCTTATATATTCTAAACATTATGACTCAGGAATAGCTGGCAAATTGGGGGAGTGGGGTTTCAGACAGGGTCTTGATATGTAGCCCAGGATGGCCTCAAACTCATATGATCCTCCTGCCACAGCCTCCTGAGTGCTGATATTACAGGTATGCACCACCATATCCAGCAAAAAAACTTTAAGGTATATAGTGTTTTTTAAAGTAGCCAGTATAGCCAGGGATTTACCTCAACAGCATAAGCGCCTGCCTGGCAAACAAGAGGTCATGAGTTTGATCCCCAGTACCAAAATAAACAAAGTAGCCAATACATAGCTTTTATTACAGTCAGGCACTGTATCGAAGACATGTAATAAAGATGAAGCAAAAAGGGTTAACCTGCTAAAGATCAAACAACCATTAAGGAGTCAAGCCCATTGTCTGTCCTGTACCATCACTTTCCAAGATTTCCTGAGAGGAAGAACAGATATGGAAGAAACTCTCAGCCAGATGCACAGGCTGGGGATGGTTCACCTTGGGTCAGAACTAGGCTCCTGTTCTAAGAAGGAACTGTATGCGCCTGGTGGAATGGAGGAGAGCCAGAGTGCCTGGGGTTTTGAGCACAGAAGGGGAGCTGATAGTGTTATTGTTGCTGCAAGACTGTCCTCAGGCCAGTTTCACATATGGCCTGGAAAGGTTTCATGCTTGAGGAAAGCCCCACATTATTAGTGGGTGAGTTAGATACAGACTCACATTCTCTCCACCTGAGAACTAGGACTCTGTAAGAGAAATCGGACATTACGTCTCCAGTGAACATAAGAGTCATTTATTGGGAAAGAAGTTGTATAATGCTTTACTACTTAAAAACTAACTTCATATCCACCCATAAGTGAACTTGAAAACACTTTGGTAAAAATAGAGCTCATTATCCCCATTTTACAAGTCAGTGCTGTGATTATTACTGTTTGTTACAACAAACCACCCTAAAGCATAGTAGTTTAAAAAGACAATTTATTAATTTTGTTTATGGTTTTGTTGATTGAGCTGGGTCTCATGTGGCTGTAGTCAGATCCCAGCTGGGGGACTGGATGGCCACATATATAATTTTTTTCTTTTTTTTTTTGGTACTGGGGATCAAACTCACAACTATGCACTTGCAAGGCAGGCACTTATGCAGCTGAGCTAAATCCCCAGCCCCCCCACATATATAATTTATAGCAGGCTTTTTATTTTTATTGAGTGTTAGGAATTGAACTTAAGACCTAATACACACACTAAGCAAGGGCTCTACCACTGAACTACACCCTAGTCTGACTTCTATATTTTATTGATAAAATAGTCCCAGCAACTCCCAGATTCAAGGAGATGAAAGTGGCAAGGTCACTATAGAAATCTTTGAAAAATTCACTCTACCTCAACAAGAAAACCAAGTCTCAGAAGTTGTTTAAAAAATAATCTGGGCATGGTAGTGCATGCCTATAATTCTGGCTACTTAGCTGAGGAAGGAAGAAATCACAAGTTTGAGGCCAGCCTGGGAAATTTAATGAGAACTTATCTCAAAAAATAAAAAGTGCTGGAGATGCAGCTCAATGGTAGGGGAGCATTCCTGTGTTTAATCCCCAGTATCAGAAATTTTAAAATAGATCAGGTTATTCTTTGTATATCATGTACTTTCCACATTACCCTAATCCTAAAACAATGATGTAGGTAAATGGATGACAGTGTTTTCAGACAGACTCACTATGTGGCCTGAGCTGACCTCAAAATCAGCAGCAGTCTTCCTGCCCCAGCCTCCTGAGTGCTGAGATGACAGGTGGGTGTTACCACACCTGGCTAAGATTACAGTATTTTGAATTTAAAGCAAACTCATTAGACTTTAGATCCAGTATTCATGCAAGGAAATAGTTTCTATTCAATAATAACTGCCTATTATGATGGGCACTGTGACAAGAACAAAGGACATAAAAGTGAACAAAAGGGTCAGGTTTAGCTCAGCAGCATAAGCACCTGCCTGGCACAGGTCATGAGTTCGACAAAAAAAACCAAGATCTGGTTTCTGTGCTTAAAGAACTCATAATCCAATAAGCAAAATAAATATATAAATTAAAATCTTCTGAATTGTTCTTAGCAAGGTAGAAAACTTGAAAGGCGTGAGCCACATTAAAGATGAATCATTTTGCCAGGCAGACAAGGAATGGTATCTCTACAGAAAGGAGATTACATGAAAGATACTAGTTCTTGCTTTAATGCAGATAGAAACAGATAATCCAAGTACTGTGGTTTTGTTTGTTTGAATGCTTAGCTGAGATTTCAAGAAAGAAATGAGAAGGAACTGAAAACTAGAGCAAATGGCAAAACAGCCAGTGCAGTTCCTGGGAGAAAAGGGAAGGTATTTAAGGGCCTGGGTTTAAATACTGCCAGATAAAACCGACTCCATGCAAGAATAACAGGCTAAACTATCAAAAATCCACAAGAGTTGGGGCTGGGGATTTAGCTCAGCGGCATAAGCACCTGCCTTGCAAGCAGGCGGTGGTGAGTTCGATCCCCAGTACCAATAAAAAGACAAAAAAAAAAAAAAAAAATCCACAGTTGGGGCCAGGGATTTAGCACAGCGGCACCTGCCTGGCAAGCACATCATGAGTTCGATACCCAGTACCCCTTACCAAAAAAAAAAGTTGACAGAAACAAAAAGTGGGAGAATTTGAGTGTCTGGGCTTGTGGAGGCAGAGACTGAAGAATTCTAGATGTTGGCTCTGACCGCGTATGAACCTTCACATCCTGTGTGATCTAGGAACTGTCACCATGCCTTACCCATCTCAGGTAAGAAATTGGTCTCTGAGAAACCACTAACAAAGTGCAGAAACAACCCACAGTCTGAGATTGTTTTTGCTAGCTGTTCCTCAGACAAACTACTATAGAATATATAAAGAACTTGAAGTCATACCCCCCTCCCCCGTATTTAAAGACCCAATGCAAAAGTGGGCATCTGAAATAGACACTTCTCAGATGAAGTAGAAACAGGATGGGCTGGGGATTAGCTTAACAGCATAAGTGCCTGCCTGGCAATGGCAAGATCATGAGTCTGATCCCCAGTACAAAAAAAAAAAAAAAAAAAAAAAAGGGAAATAACTATATGAAGAAAATTGTTCAACATCATTGATTGTCGAAGAGATGCAAATTAAAACAACACTGAGATTCCACATCCAAAAAGAATGGCTATTATCAAGAAATCAGTAGCAGGCTGGCAGGGCTGTGGGGGAAAAGGAACCCTTCTCCACTGTTCTCCTTCTTGGTATGATGCATCCTACCACAGTGATATATGCACAGCCATGTTTAGAGTGTCACAGTTTGTAGTAGCTAAAGTTGGAAACAACCCAAATGCCCATCAACCCGTGAATGGATAAAGATGTGGGGTTGTTGTTTTTATCCAAAACAGTACTACTCTGCCATAAAGGATAAGCTTGGGCTGGGGAAATAGCTCAGTGGCACAGGGCCTGCCTGGCAAGTGTGAAATCACGAATTCAATCCCCAGTATTCCTCCCCGCAAAAAAGCTTGAGACATTTCTAGCTAAATAGATGCCCCTTGAGGCCATACTTTTAAGTGAAATAAATTGGACGCATGTAAATACTGCATTGTAGAGCCAGGCATGGTGGCACACACCTATAATCCCAGCCCTCAGGAAACTGAGGCAGGAGGAACACTTCCAGCCTAGGATACATAGTGAGTTCAAGGTCAGCCTCGACTAGAGTGAGCCCATCTCAAAAACAACAAAACAAAACCAATACTGCATTGTTTCTCTGGTATGAGAAAACAAAAGTGAAAAGAAGGATCAAAATGGATAACATATTGTGAAATAGGAAAATGTTCAAATGGGAAGGGCAGCTAGCAAGGAGAGAGTGGAAAAGGGAGAATATATTTTTTAAAATGAGAAAAAAATGAGGGAAAAAACAGTATCTGATCAGTTGTCTATGGGTAGCTCTACTGAGATTGCATATGACTGCAAACAACACAGAACTGGTACCCCTGCTCCCACCAAAAAGCTCCTAGACATTATTTTAGTCAAACCTGCAACATACACATCTAACAGAAAGCCCAGATCCAGAATGTGTAAGAAACTGCCTACTAATTTGAAAAAGAAGTCAGGTGTGCTGGTATATGCCTATAATCCCAGCACTTGGGAGGCCGAGGCTGAGGTTTGCTAGGAGTTCAATACCAGCCTGAACTACACATTGAGATCCTGTCTCAAAAAAAAAAAAAAAAAGTGGGAGCAAAAGGGTTGAGGATATAGGGAAACTAAGCTAGTTTTTGTTTTTGTCTTTGTCATGCTGAGATTGAACCGAGGCCCTTGTGCATGCTAGGCAAGCACTCCACCACTGCATACACCCCTTGCCCCAAAAGCCATTTTGTTTTGATCATGAAAGTTTTATAAGCAGAGTCAAAGTTTAGAGGAGTGTGCCAGTGAGGGTGTGGGAGAGATTAGGTATACAAAGGGACTGAGATTCCTAACAATCACCAGGAGTAAGGTGAACTAGCAAGTTTCTGGGCTCTAAATGGAGTGATGGAAAAAATCTCTTCATAGTGATGTGTTACTTCAATGTACTGCATTTTCTTTTACGTTCTCTTTACAACTAAGACCTACAGGTATGTTCCCTGTGCAGCAGCAGTTTAAAATCTATCCTTATGCTAATATTGTGCCCAATGGGCTTAAGAAGCAGAACTGTTTTTACTCTATACAAGGACTAACCAGAAAATATAGTGAATGTCTGAATTTTAAAGAACTTATTACAATAAAAGACCCAATGCCCCGGTTGATGGTATAAGTATGTTCCAAGCAAGGAATACTTTTTTTTTTTTTCTTTTTTATTGGTACTGGGGATCAAACTCAGACTGTCTGTTTGCAAGGCAGGCGCTTATGCCACTGAGCTAAATCCCCAGCCCCTGCAAGGAATATTTTGAAGGGGATTAATAGCAATGTGTCTTTTACTATAATACATTTATTTAAACATTTACCATATATTTCAAACTTCTATGCCAGCCCTTTTTAGGAACCTCCTTTTATTTCCTACAATTATATGAGGACTGCCAAACAAGGGCTTCTGTCCTTCCAGACACAGAATACCTCATTCCCTAGATACAGTAATTGGCCCAGGAATGATCTCTACATCAGACCTCCTCAGTTTTCTCAGGGTATCTGTGCGAGTGCTGAGACAGTGGCAAACTACCTGCTTAGCAGGTGCAAGGCCATGGGCTCAGTCCTCAGCACCAGAATATAAAAAATACAAATCAAGGGACCAGGGATTTAGCTCAGCAGTGTAAGCACCTGCTGGCAAGTGCAAGGTTGTGAGTTTGATCCCCAGCACAAAATAAATAAATACATACATACATACATGCTGGGGCAGTCCTACCCAAGATCAAGAAGGCTGACACTAGTACTGCTAAAACTATAGTCTGCCACAAAAATGTATATACTCTTCAGGGAAAGAAAATAATGTCTGGAAGCCAACAGCCACCACTTTGAGAACCTCTTATAGCCAGGGACTTAGCTCAGTGGCATAAGTGCCTGCCTAGCAAGCACAAGGTCATGAGTTTGATCTGCAGCACCAAAAAAAAAAAAAAAAAAAAAAAAAGAACCTCTTATACAGGCCAAAAATAACTTGTATTAGTCTCAAGATGCCTCAATAAACTTAGTATTAAAGCAATTATACAAATTTTTCTTTTCCTGAAGTGTGTACACATTTTTTGTGGCACACTGTATTTCCCTCAATATTCATGGGTGATAAGAGTTCAAGATATGGGAAGCTGGGCGTGGTGGCTCCATAATCTCCAGCACTCAAGAAGCTAAATCAAAAGGATCACCCTGAATTCAAAGTCAGCCTGAGCTACACAGTGAGTGTACACTAAACTACATAGTGAGACCCTGGGTCAAAAAGAAAAAAAAAAAAAAGTTCAAGATACAGCACTACTCTGATGAATGGGATTATGCATATCTAAATTGTACCAATAAACAATTATAAAAACAACATGGTAATATAGTCCATGACTCAAAAACTTTCTCCACTTTCAGGTTTAATGTATTATTTGGGAAAACAAAGGCACCAAGACATAGACATGGCAAAGTATATAATGTCTATAGGTGTAATTCACCCTTACATTACCATGATACTTCAATAGCCCCCATAAACCGTCATACTGGTGAACTGGCAGAACCCCGGGCACTTTCTTCCAGCAGGGTTTGGAAACCATCAAGCTCATAGTCCTCTTGATGTGGAAATCAGCAGGTCAAGTCTTTCTGCAGCCTGCCCAGGAGGAAATACTCCCAGCCCTACAGCACTCCCGAGCTCTTCTCTTCTTGGGCGGCCTGGCGCCGGGCGCTACGCAGCTGCAAGTAATGGTAGGCCCGAACGCTGCAGAGGTAGCCCCCGTACACAGTGAGAAGCATCATGGAAGCCGAGAAGGCCTTGTAGCCAATGTCAGCTAGCTGCTTGCCAGACGGCATGGCGTTCCCTACAAAGAAAGACTGCAGTCAGACCCAGGGTAAGGAATCATCTCCCCAGCCCAGCACTCTGTCTAGAACCATTCCCTAACCTGTATCCTGCTCAGTCTGTCCGGGTACTCTATACTGAATGGCCCAACACACAGCAGTCCCATAAGAATACTCTTGAGTCCAAAGGGCACACACGGTCTGTATACAAAAGGCGGGAGCCACATCTGAATGCGGTTACAGAGCCGGGGATAGAGCTCAGCAACACAAGTGCATGCCTGGCAATCACAGGTCCTGAGTTTGATTCCTGGTACCAAAAATATTAAAAAAAAAAAAAAAAAACACTTTTAAAAAGAATGCAATTACACTGACACCTGGCTCTCCACATTTGTGGAGAGAACTGACTGGCCCACCCAGAACTCATCTTACTTAAACATGTATCAGTTTTTTTTGGCTTCTAGGAAATTCATGGGGTAGCTAGGGTTTAACATTAGCAGAGTTATTTTCCTAGAAGACAAGTGGGAATCTTCCAGGCAGTGTCCAATTCATTTTCCCATAAAAACAACCTTGTTCACAGTTAGTCTTAAAGCACGTTTAAACCATAATGTAACTGCAATAGTACCAACAGTACTTTTATATTATTCAATTATACTTAACCTTCTATAGCATTAATTCTAAGTTCTAAACTGAACATGAAGAACCTGCCCAAAGGGCTAAAAACAATCTTCCTGGGTACTGTCCCTAATACGTCTTAACTCATACTTGCATGAGATCTATTATTTCTAATTTAACTCTTCTCTGGCTCTCATGAGCTGGGAAACAAGAGCAAGTTTAGTATGTGAATTCTTTGTCCAGAACAAAATGTTCCCAATTTGGGACTGAGTTCTCAGGTTCCCCTCTACTGAGAGAACTGAAATTAAAAGAATGACCAAAGCCAGACACGACACCTGTAACCCCCGAATTTGGGAACCTGGGGCAGGACTGCAAGTTCAAGGCTGGCCTGGGCTACAGAGCAAGACACTTACTGAGGTGAAGGACACCTAATTAGTCAGGTGTGGTTTCTTTAACTCGGGCTAGGGATGGTAGCATGCTTCTAGTACAAGCTACTCAGGAAGCTGAGGCAGGAGACGATAACTTGAGACTAAGAATTCAAGACCAGCCTCAGCAACACAACTACAACCTGTCTCAACAAGTGAAACATCAAGCTGGGTGCAGTGGTGCATTCCTGTAATCTCAGCACTTCGGAGGCTGAGGCAGGGCAATCATTTGCAAGTTTGAGACCAGCCTGTGCTACAAAGTGAGCCCAAGGCCAGCCTGAACTGCATAGTGAGACCCTGTCTCAAACACACACACACACACAAAAGTAGAATATCTGGAAGAAGATAACCTCAAGCTGGTGCAGGCAGTTGACAGTGAGGTAGGAGACATGTAAGAGTTCTCAAGTGGGGGCTGGGGATTTAGCTCAGTGGCATAAGCATGTGCCTTGTAAGCAGGCAGTCGTGAGTTCGATCCCCGGTACCGATAAAAAGGAAAAAGACAAAAAAAAAGAGTTCTCAAGTGAGCCCAAAGGCAGGCCCTGAGGATGGACCCCAAAATGAGCCAAGGCACAAATTTTTTTTTTTTTTTTTTTTGTGCCGGGGATTGAATTCAAGACCTCATGTTTGCTAAGCAGGCACTTACACCACTGAGCTAGATCCCTGGCCCCGAGGCACAATTTCTTTGAATTCTAGTTCTCCTAAAGAAAAGTGACATAGCTGGGGATTTAGCTTGGTAGCACAGTGGCTGCCTAGCAGATGCAAGGTCATAAGTTCAATCCCCAGTACCAAAAAAGAAAGAAAGAAATCACATTAAATAAGGTCAGAGAAAGAAAACTAAAGGACACAGGCTCAAAACAAGGAAAGGTGTGTTCAGGTTATCTGAGGTTTATAACGACCCTAAGCTAGTGGTGGCAGAACTAGGCTGCAACGTGCTGTTTGTTAACACTGAAAGCTCTGAAAGGTCCCAACCTATGAACAATGAGGAACACACAGGTAGATGGGCTAAGACATGAAGGATGCAAACAAGCACCCCACAGATGCCACAAGCTTTCTTTGCTTCCGTTCTCCTGCCATTCCCGTGCCAGGGCTGGAAACTAACCAGTCACAGGACTCCCTCTCTGAGGGGTTGGAGAGAAAGCCAAAAAAGGAACAGATGGTCCAGCTGCGCTAAAGAGTGACACTACTACACCAAGAGACACAATCCTGTTGTCCTAGTCTAAAATTAGCAAAAACTTCACTAAGCTACGGCAAGGGCAGCAGAAAGGGAGAAGATGCACACAGAAGTTATTTTGGAAGCAAGTGATTGGATTAGAACAAAGCTGAGGGGCTGGCTTTAGCCCAGCGGTTCCTTCGAGTCTGGCTTCCCAACCGCCCAGCCGACTAGTGACTAGTCCTTTAAAAAAAAAAAAAAAAAGAACAAAGCTGAGAATACCTCCAAGTTAAACTTGTAGTAGCCTGGAATGCTGTTCACAGAAATAAGAGAAAGGGTTATGTGTCACTGTGTATATCGAGGGTGTGACAGTGTCGATTAATATCTTGAGACTGAGGCTGTACATCGTGCCACATACCTGTAATCCCAGCACTCTGAGGCAGGAGTTCAAGGCCAGCCTGGACTACATAGTGAGTTCAAGTCCTGAATTATAGAGCAAACTCCTGTCTCAAAAAAACTAAACAAAACAAAGGGTCCTGGGACTGAGAGTGTGTATCAGTGGAAGAGTGCTTGCCAGGTACGTGTAAATCCTGGGTTTCAATTTCTAGCACTGAAAAACAAAATCATAAACTGGGGTTGGGCATACTGAATTTTATACATTTATGGGCTGGGGGTTTATCTTAGTGGTGTAAGTGCCTGCTTGGCAAACGAGAGGTCATGAGTTCAATCCCCGGTACCAAAAATAAAATAAACACATTTATGAGATGATGTCTATCAGGCAGAAGAAAATGAAATTCTGTTCAGATTTTGAGAAAAAGCTGTTTCAGATACAGATGAAGGTAACAGCTGATACCAAAATAAAAAATAAAACCAAAAGACAAACCCAGCCTGGTAGTGCACACCCGTGACCCTCGCATTCAAGAGGTTGAGGCAGGAGGACGGCTCAGTTTGAGACCAGCCTGTGCTAACTACTGAGTTCAAGGCCAGCATGAATTACAGTGAGATCCTGTCTTAAAAACAAAAATAAAACCACGAGACAAGAGGCCAAGAGAGCAACAACTGGAAGAAGAAAACAAGGAAAAAGGCAGGTAGGAAATTCTAAAAATACAGGGGGTGATGGTTCATTTAGCTGCATTTTCCTTCCTGGCTAAAAATCACCTGGGCCGGGGACTTAGCTCAATGGCATAACCACCAGTATGCAGAGGTGTAAGGCACAAAGCTAGGTCTCTAAAGTGACAGAACTGCAGGTTTTGGAAAAATCCATTAGTATCATTAATGGAAAATACCATGAGTGCAATTTGTAAAGATTCTCTTTTTGGGCCCTCAAAGCCTGGGAGGACCTCAAGACTCTGCTTTCATTTTTGAAAACTCATTCCTTCAACTAGGCCTTCAACCCAGATTCACTAATTCGTCTTATTTCGCACCTGGAGCACATAATCCTAGGAGGAGGCAGAGACGAACACGGCTGCCGTCTAAAGGAGCTTACGGTGATAAGCTACGAATCCTATATTCTGTTAGACAAGCTGGAAGACGGTGGGTGAGTTCGGAGGCAGAGTAGGGGCTCGAGATAAAGTGCAGGGGAGGAGCTGTCTTTTTAGAAAGGTGGGGCCAATTTAAACCAAAGAGAAAACGGAGGAAACCTGGCCGCGGCGGCCTTGCGAGTCGCAGCGCGAGACGCCAGGCCAGAGTGCGGCCAGACCGGAGCCAGGCTGCAGTCTAGCCGGGCTGCCCCCCACGGCCTCACAGGCACCGACGCCGGGTGACAGGCAGATGGCGGGGCGGTGAGCGAGCCGGCCTTGGCGGCTTGCCCTGGCCCGGGGCGTACCTGGGTGCTGCCTCGCGTCCAGCCAAGGCCTCCCTCCACCGGCAGCGTCTGGCCGCTACGGTCTGCACAACTTCCTGGGACGATCTAAAGTCACGTCCGGAACAAGTGCGTCTCGTGCGGGCGGCGGCACGAGAACCCCAAACGCCTCAGCTATTGGTAAGGAACGCAGCTCCTCTTCCCGCCCGCCCTAGCCTCTAGGCCTCGCCTCCTCTAGCACTCGCTTCCAAGCTGAGGAAGCAAACCGCCGCCCACCCGCAAAAGCCCGCCCCCTACGGTGGGAGGCGCCCCGTCGCTACTCAAACTGGAGACCGGCTATGGACTTCCGGCCTCCAGGTCAACTATCCTTGCGAAGCATCCTCAGACGAGCCTCCCTCCCCGAGAGGCCCATTGGATTCTGGGGGTTGTGGTTAACGCTTCAAGAGAGCGCTTACTGTGACTGGAGCTCGAAATCGGAACCTTTAGAACCCAAATCACCCAATCCTCAGCGTATATCTCAGTGACGTCTCCGGTAGCCAGGTAGGTTTTCTGGGGCCAGCCCTCCAGAGTGGACTATGCGCCCCCTAGAGTCTGGAGCGGCCCTCTCCAGGTATTCGGCTGCAGGCCGAACTCAGGTGTGGACCTGATGGGCACCACGAGGCCCTGCCCATGGTTTGCCCTCACGGTGACTAGTGTGACTTTCCCCTAAACAGCTTTTGGGAAGATGAGGTGTGGGGTCCTGGCCGAGGAGGAAGGGAGAAGGGACTTAGTGGGCACCACGATTGGCATGGAGAGTGTTATCAGGGAGGGAGATTTTTTTCATGTGTTCTGTGGTAAGGGTAGTGATACACGACAGCACGCGCAATGCCACATGCAGTGAAGCCTTTTAGTTGTTAATGAAAAAGCTGCATTTTATTGGGTGGACAGGCGACCAACCGCAGACTTTAAATTCACAGTTCATTGTTGTGGATTGAACAGATGTAGGCAAAAGTGTTGGAAGGCCTCTGGCCCACCTTAACCTCCAGGAAGGGCAGCTCTAGATAGTCAGTGCCTGGACCCAACCCAGACAAGCATAGGGAGGCTGTGCCCCTCAATTTGCAGCCTGATTGGGGCAGCTCTGCTCTTCATGGTCAGACCAAATTCTGAATGGCAACCATGAGGAACACCCAGGTTTGCTAGGGAGTGAGAGAGGGTTAACACAAAGCTGCCCAGTGCCAGTGTGCCAGGTGCTGCCAAATGGAAAGGGAAGCATAGACCCCTGCTGGACACAGGAGCCTCAGCTCTCAGAGGCTATTTATAGCTAGGGGCCTAGGCTGCTGACCTGGGACATTCCCCTGCTGCCACCCAGACCTGGAGCAAGGCCAGTGTAAAGTACACTCCCCTCCCCTCTTGTGTTTGTCCCTCACCATAGTGGGGAGGGTGGTTCTTTTCTTCCTCAAGTTTCTCAGCTCTTGCTGTCCTGATGCTCTTCAGTACTCCATGAGGAGACCCTCATTCAAGGAGAGGGAGCTGACTTTGGAATATAGGCACCCACCCAGCATCCCAAGCATTCTGGCAGTTGAGAATGAAGTGCAGGGCTCAGTAGGCAGAGGGACAGGGTGGCCTCTGGGGAGACAAACAGCCAAAGGGGCCCAGCTCTATACACTTCTTCCAACCAGAGCTCTGAATAGGGCGGCTGGGCAAGCACAAAGGTCACAGGGACCCAGCAATCTGAACTTGCTATGAAAAGGTGTAGCTGTCAGCAGATTAAGTTTCTGCTCCCCAAAGAAGTGCTGGCTAGCAGGGGAAGGGAGGATTTGGAAAGGTCACGCAGGGTGGGGAGGAGTTGGCAAAGATCTAGGAACCAGAAAGTCCCTAGGGAGAATAGCAAGCCCCAGGGGCAGAGATGCCAGCAGGGAGCTACTCTTGTGCCAGGGCAGCCTGAGGGAGGAGGAAAACCAGAGGTTTCTGATGATGCAAATGTTGCTAGGAGAAGCAGGGAAAGATCTGCTTAAGATCTTTGTATTTTGTCACCAAATGCTGAGATCCATTGATGCTGTGTGGGGCCTGGGGCTGTCAGCTGAAATACTCAGATCCCCCCTGGTGGCCCTGGCCTTATCCTTCCTATGGCTAAGATACTTCTTTAGCCATTTCATTGGGCCTGGGGACAAGTTTTTGGTCAATGCAAGGCAGCAACTGGCAGCCCTTGCCCTGATGCCCTCTCCCCACAGACAGACAGACAGACAGACACACACACACACACACACACACACACACACACAACACAACACACCCTGAGAGCAGGTGGCAGCACTGGGCCTTGATTCTGTCCCTCCTCACGCCAGGGAGAAAATTTCACATCTGGAGAGAGACAGGGCAGCTCCATTTCCAACAAGAGGCTGCAGGCCTCTCAGTTCAGAACTCCAACTGTGTAGCTGAGCCACAGCCTCAAGTTTCGTCTCCAGTGAAAAGCTGAGACAACCACTTGCTGAGAGTTCTGGGGGTCTTGGCCAACCAGCTGCAAGCTTCAGCTTGTATCTGATGGGGTAAAAACGCTGCCTGTCCTGGGCCCTGGCCCCACTCACATGTGTTCTGGATGATTCTGCAGACATCGGATGAATTCACCCACTGGCTGGCCCTCATAGCACACCTTGTACACAGCCATGAACAGTGGGAACCTAGAGCAGAGGGAGATGCCTAGCTTAGTCTCCTGTCCTTGAGCCATTCTCTACCCATCTCTCCCCAGCCACCTCCTAAGCCTCCACTCCAGTACCAGCACTCAGGCAGATTCTGGCACCCAATTGCAGAGAACCTGAATTCCCCAGCACTGAGTTTTAGGGTCAGGTTGCTAGCTGCCCTGTTCCCTATCATATTGAACCTGCCTATACGACTCCCCAGTTTCAAGTTTTGTTTTGTTTTTCCCAGTTGGGCAACCCATCTACCCTTTCTGAACCTCAATGTGATCGATATGACAAATCAGTGAAGATAAGATGTATCTATGAACGTGTGCTTACATATTATATGAAGGTGTCAATAAGTGTCAGTGTCCTTTGCCCTCCTTGCCCAGGCTCCCTTAATCTGGAGCTATGAGCTACTCTTCTGAACCTGTTTCATACACTTCTAGGATTCTTTCCCAGGCCAACAGAGCTCAGCCATGTTCTGCTCAGCCCAGTCACCCCATCATGTTCCCTAAAAAGGAGACATTAAAGCACAGCCATCCTTCTCGGTACCTAGGACAGGCTACAAGGGACAGAAGGGCTGGACTGGGGGGACAGACAAAGAATTGGGACAGTCAGATTAGCATATACTCCTGCAGAAGTCCAATTCCCAGAGAAACGAAAAATTGCCAGTTGTGGTGGCACATGCCTATAATCTCAGCACTTGGAAGGCTGAGGCAGGAGGATCACCATTAGTGTGAGGCCAGCCTGGGCTATGTAGTGAGTTCAAGTTTGGCCTAAACAGATAGCAACATTCTCTCTCAAAAAACTCAGGGAAAAAAAAAAGGACAAAGAAAAGGACAAGGAGGAAAGGACAGGGGAGGCTTTGCAACATAAAGAGTGCTGAGTGAGAATGAGGCCACAGCCCTGAACTGGCTGAAGATGCTGAGTGCTGCTGCCCCTTCAAACTCTGAACATAAACTTGCATTCCCTCTCTTCCCAGTTCACAGATTGTGCAGTAGTCAGGAAGACAGTGAATGGGGATGGCACCTGCCTATGGCTTGTTCCCCCCAGGGCAGGGCAGCACTCACTTGTCTACCAGGCCTTTGTGCTGGAGGATACTGTGTAGCTCCCGGGCTGTCTGGGGCCCCTGCAGCTTCTGCCCATTCAGCATCTCTTTCTCCAGCTGCTCAATAGACTGTAAGGAAAGCAGGACATGTGGGTGGAAGCGTGAGAGAAGCGTTGTTCATATGAGCTGTAAAGTCTGGGGCTCAGATAGGTAGCAGGCTCTTAGAGGGAAAGAAAGGTGGGAAGGTCCTAGCAGTCTTAATACTTGTGCTGAGGTGCTGCCCACAGAGCCCACCTTTCCAGTGCGGGCGAAGGCCTCAGCCACCTTGCGGTTCCTTCCTCCGTAGCAGGTAGTGATAAGGTCAGCGACACCGCAGCTCTCCAAGAAGGTGGCAGAGGACACAGAGCCACGGCAGAAGAGCTTGGCAAAGGCGATCATCTCCATGAGCCCCAGCCGTATCACTGCCGCCTTGGTATTGTCACCAAAGCCCAGCCCATCACAGAAGCCAGCTCCCACAGCCACTATGTTCTTGGGAAGGAGAGGGCATGGGTGAGAGAAGACCCCTCCAGCAAGCCCGGTTGGCACCCTCGAGGTGCCTGCCTGACACGCTCACATCATGATGCACACACTGAACGAGGGAAGCGCGGAGGAGGATATGCTTCTAAGCTGTCCACCTCCTGGTTTTCCCACAGGCCACACCTTCCTTACTCTACTGGCTGCCCTGTTCCCTATCATATTGAACCTGCCTATACGACTCCCCAGTTTCAAGTTTTGTTTTGTTTTTCCCAATTGGGCAACCCATCTACCCTTTCTGAGCCTCAATGTGATCGATATGACAAAGCAGTGAGGATAAAATGTATCCATGAACGTGTATCTATGTATCTATGAACGTGAAGGCTACGCCAGTTCCCTTGCCTGCATGCCCTAGCCTTTCTTCTGCAGTCCTTGGTGGGGGAGTGCTCCATGGAGAAGAGGACCAGCTGTCCAGGAGAGACCTGGGCTATCAGCACATGCCGAGCTGAGCCAGCCCCTCCTTTGGGGCCTTATCTCCAACCCATAGCTGCCTCTGTGCCCCTCTCACCTTTAAGGCCCCACAGATCTCCACTGTGTCCACCTCTTGCACCACTGTGATCCGGAAATTGGGGGTCTGCATCAGATCTTTCAGAAGCTGTCCCTGGCCAGGGTCCTTGCAGCCTTAAGTGGAGAACAGGGAAGGCTTTCAGGAGGGACCTTTTTTGCTTTTATGAAGAGGTCATACGGGTTGCTCAGGGTGGTTTCAGATCCTGCCCCGGCTTCTTGAGTAGCTGGGGCTACAGGCATGTGCTATGGTGCCTGGCTAGTGGGAGACTCTTAATTGCTTTTCCCACATCTAAGCAGGACCTGAAACTCCTTCCCTGGGGGTGCCCCAACCTTCCCTCACCTCTGACACTTCTTCTTCTCCCTGCCTTGTGGAAGAAAGTGGCTCAGGGGAGGGGGAAGAGTTTGGGGAGGGGGAGCAACTAGAATTGTGTGGAGTATTTGGGGCTCACCAATAGTGGTCTCACAGAACTTCTCATCAGCCACCTCACTGGCAATGTTGGCCCCCATCAGCACACTCATGGGGATACCAAGGCGCTCCCCAATCACTTCAGAGATGAGCTTCAGCCCATTGGGGCCCTCGTCTACCCCCTGGGCACAGGATGGAGCTCAGATCAGAAGCTCTTTACACCCAGCTGAGAGCTTCCCACCCAGAAATCCTGCCCCTTCCAAATCCACTGTTTATCAGTGCCCCTCCTCAAAGGTCCTGTGCCATTCCAACGCAGCAACAGCTGGCTGTGAGGAGGGGCCATGGGAAAACCCTCCTTCCATGTACTCTACCGAACTTCTGTCTCTGGGGCAGCATATTACCTCCAAATCCCCAAACAACCTCCTGCCCTGTTGCGGGCCCAGACCAGCTCCCTTCTTGTGCTCCTCAAATCAGCCTTTCAGAAGGAAAGGCTGTTAGGGACTAAATCTGGGAAGGCTGGACTTGAAGGAGCAAATCCTCCGACTGCCTGACCCCACCATCAATCCCTAGTGTCTCATAAGAAAGACTTAAGTCTCCTAACTCCACTAAGACAGGTGCCTCCAAACCACTTTCTTCTCTACTTCCCAACCAATCTCCAGCCAGTGGCCTCAAGCATGCAACTCTTCCTTAATCCTCTCCAAAGCCAACTCCTCTCTTCTTCCTGGGAACTCACTCTATTCCAGCCGTTGTCTATTCTGTTTGCTTTCCCTGCTGTGAACCCCACAACTAGCTGCACTCCATACCCACCCACAGGAAGGTGTCTCTGGCACCTTAATAAGAGATATGCCAATGGCGTTGGCCTTCAGGTGGCCCTTCAGCTGGTCACAAATCTTGCCAATGAACTGATGGGGCACCACGAAGATCAGGATGTCAGCCTCCGAGGCGGCCTGGACCACATCTGGGACAGCCACCTGTGGGATAAGCAGGTGCTCAGGGGCCTGGCAGCCAGAACTCATTCAGGTAATCTAGAAGCTGAAGAGGAGGCTGGGGGCGGGTCCAGAGGAAAGAGTGTTAGGGACCCAATCGGGCTCCGAATAGGAGCCAGTCCTCCAACTCCCTGTGCCCGGCCATCATTCCCCCCGGCTGTAGCTGTCCTGGACTCTTGAGGACTCCCGGAGCCCTCTGCCAGCACTCTTCTAACCTTTGGCTGTGGGACAGTGAGGGAAGCCAAAGCTGCCTGGACTTGGCAGGAAGAAGAGTCCGAGTAAGATTTCATCACGTTGCTCCTCTGAGGGCCTCAACTGGGAAGGGAGAAGCCCAGCCTTTCTGCTTTCTTCCCTGCTCCCCCTCTCCAGGTAGGAAGACAGCCATGTGGATTTGACCAAAAACCTGAAGTTCAAGGAATGGCCTTCAAGTCTGCTAATAGCCCAGTGAATGAATAATAGGCTTAGAACCTGAGGCAGGGACTACCTGGACCCCAAGTGTGGGAGCCTCACAACCAGAATTCGGTTCCCCTGGAGACCAAGTTCCTTGGCCTCCCTCTTCCTTCCCAGCCTGGGAACCTGTAAGGGGGAGGTATGCCCAGGTTCGCCTCAGTCCAGCCAAGTGCCTAGAAGAGCCCAAACAAAGGTGCCCATGTCCACAGCAACCCTCCTGAAATGCTTCCCGAGTCCAGGCTGGCACCTGAAGTGGCCCCTTTCAGCAGCCCTGAGTGCTGACTCCTGGACTTCCCTCAGTTGCTTTTCCTCTTTAAGACATTCCTTGCAGGGTGTGTGGGCTTACCACATTTGGGGGCAGCTTGTGCCCTGGCAGGTATTTGACATTCTCATGCTGCGTGTTGATGATCTCTGTCAGCTTTCTGCCCCCAACATCTTCCTCAAACACCCACATGGTCACCCGTGGGTCAAAATGTGCCAGCTGGGCTGCATTGCCACCCACGATCTTGGCAATGGCTGAGCCCCTGGCAGAGGGGGAACACAAGAGTGGAGTGTGATGTGAGAAAGGAAATAGTGGCAGGAGTTGGGGTAGTCTCATCCCAGGTTTAACAGCACCCCACCAGATTATCTGCTTTCCATCTTAATGGTCACCTGCATCCCCTATGCCAAGGGCGTCCCCCATGACCTAGCAACAGAAAGGATCTTCACTGCAGTCAGACTTTGCTTGTGGAGGAGGGGGTCAGCCTGCCGATCCCAACCCTCCAAGCTCAAGGAGTCTTTCGGATAGAGAAGGGAGCACCCTTGTTGCCTTCCTATGGCAAACAGGTGCAGCTGCCCAGGTAGGCACAGGGCCAGGGAGGTCAGGCACCGTCTGTCCTGTACGCATAGGCACAGAAGACAGCCAGCAGCAGGGGCTGAGCAGGAACCTAAGGGCATTTCCTACCCACCTTCTGCCTCCTGCCCTCCCAGGTTCCCTCTCCAGCCCCTTTGCACAGGGGGAAGCTCACTTGGCGCCCTTGACAGAGTCGCTTACCAGTTGCCAGAGCCTACAATGCAGACTTTCTTGCCAGCCATGGTGCTGCTTCTCTGCCCGAGCGGCTGGTGGGGGCCGGAGCATTTAACTCCACCGCGCGCGGGTACAGCCAAGCCCCGCCTCCAGGGGCGGCTGGGAGGCTGGCGCCCAGGGAGATAGGGAGTCTGGCAGAGCCAGGGAAAGGAGAGAAAAGGGTAGAGACAGGTGGGGAACGGAACAGGGCAGAGGGCAGGCAGTCTTGTACTCAGGTTTGCAGCTGACAGTGCCTGCGAGCTGCTTCTCTTGGCCCCAGCCCAGTTTCCTACCCTTTCCTTTATCTCATTTTGAGGTCTGCTAAGAAATAGCCCAGATAAGGAGGACTGACTGGTCCCTCTCAATGCCCTTTGATCCCCAACACGGGAATAAATTGTAATTAGTCTATTAACCCTAGTAGCAGCTATATGATTACCCCACCCCCATCCTGTGAAAATGGGGGTGGGAACCAGAGGTCCTCTACTACTAAGCTACACACCCTCAGCCAATTTTTTTTTTTTTTGGTACTGGGAATCGAACTCAGTACCTTGAGCTTGCCAGGCAGGTGCTTATGCCACTGAGCTTTATCCCTGGCTCTCAGCCTGCATTTTGAGACAATCTCCCTAAGTTGTCTTGGTAGATCTCAAACTTGCCATCGTCCTGCCTCAGCCTCCCTCAGAGCTAAAATTACAGGTGTGCACCACCATGCTGATTACTTCTTTTTCAGAGGTAAGAATTACCCACCTACCCACAGCAATTACCCACCACCAGCTGCTCTAGTTTATCCTTCTCCCACCCCACACACTAGCTCTACTGCAGGTGTAGGCCTGTGGATGGCGGGGAGATGTGGGCTGCTTTTAAGTAGGCCCTTACCCACACAGCGAGTAAGGGCCTACTCTGGGGGCAGTCTCGCCCCAGGTTTGAGACCCCAGGAGACCTAAAGGACAAGGTGATCTTGGTTGCCACGGTAGCTATCCCCAGGACTCATCCTTGGGCCTCTCTGGGCCTTAATCAATCCCCACCTGCATGTGTTGCAGGAGGAAAAAGGGAGGGTCAAAGTCAGAAGGCTCTGATACCACATGGCCCACAGTTCTGGGGTTGACAGAAGCAGTGGCCACAGTTCTCTGTTTCTTCTCTTGGGTTTCCACACCACTACTTGAGGAGCTCCCACAGATTAATGGCTAGTTTCCAGAAGACAAAAAGCTCCAATACCCGGGCAGCTATTTCCAATGCTCAGGTAGCTATGTCCTCCTGAGCTTTGTGGTCTCAGAAGCATGAGAGTAAGCAAATGTGTGACTGTAAGAGAACAGCAGGCTCACACTCAGCAGCTGAGGCTCTTCATTGTCTACAGCCATCTGTTTGACTAAGAGGAGGAGGAGCTCTGGTTTCCAGGCTGGTCTGGAGTGAAACAAGAGGCCCCTACCTCCAAAGGCCTGCACTTTGGCTTAGAGGGCAGACAGCACCAGCACTGCCTGCTCATGTGCTGACCTCCTGGCCTGACAGACTGCTGAGTAGGCGTTGCCATCTCCGGGGCCACCACTGGCCAGTACCAGTAAAGGACATTGGGCTTGAATCTGGGTGTAACCAGCAGGAAGGGTAATGGGTAGGAGGTCAAGACCAGAGAGCCCAGGGACTGCTCAGAAGCCAACCATAGTCTCCCATGACCAGTCTCCATGAGGGGAAGAAGGTGCATGAGATCAGTAGTTAGTTGTTTTCTTTAGAACAGAGTTGAGCCTTATATGGGGCTTGCCTGCCACAGCCCGCTCCTTTATTGTACTGGCGGACAAAGGCACCAGTGCCAGGCTGCCAGCTGGGGTACTATGGGAGATGGAGGAGAAAGGCTGTTTCTGTACCTGGCACATGATAGGAACCCCAAAGAACTGACATTTATACTTAAATAACCTCCTGGTTTTGCCTAATGCTTTCCTCTCTTAGCCTTTACAATCATTTTGGGTAGTGTGAAGACAAAGCATTTGCCAAGATTCAAAACTGGCTTCTCATAGGAAGTTATCAGTATCACTAGCTCTTTCCCTGAGAGCAAACTGTAGATTATTTGCTTGAAATTAATGACTCATCAGCCACTCACCACACTTGTAATCAGCTTGGGTAAAGAGAGATGTCATTTAGATGTCCCTGACATCAATTTTCTCTACTCCAACCTATTACCTCACACACTGCTCTACTTTCTCTGCTTGTCTGTGAAACCCCCAAGTTCCAGACTAGGAACAGGGGTTGAGTTGGACTATAAGGCAATGCTGGAGTCTTTTCCTTCTATGGAGGGAAAGAATCATTTTATTTTTTTATTTAAGGCAGGGACTATTTACATAGCCCAGGCTGGCCTCAGACTCATGGCAATCCTCCTGCCTCAGCTTCCCGAGTGCTGGAATTATAGGAGTGCACCACCACACCTAGTCCTCTTTTTTGGTAATGGGAATCAAACTCAAGATTTTGAGCTTGCCAGGAAGGCACTTATGTCACTGAGCAGCCCCCCCGCCCCCCGCCCTTTCTTTTGGTCTTTTTGGGACAGAGTCTCTGTATGCAGTTCAGGCTGGCTTTGAGACCATTTTATAGCCCAAGCTGGTCTCAAACTCACGATCCCCCTGCCTCAGATCACAGGTGTGCACCACCATGTCTAGTTCTCTGCCCTACTTTTAAAACAATGGCACAAAAGAAGCAAGCAGTGGATCACTAGGTGGGCAGCAGGCAGAACTGCAGAATTCCATGCTTCTGTTCATACAAATGATCAGCCTCAGCTTTCCTCCAAACTGCCAAGGAGAGGCAGGCCATTTTGTCAGAAGATAACACACTGATCCTGACATCCTCAGAGCCTTGAGTGGAACCCAAGTACTGGGTTTCCACAAAAATAAGGCCTAATTAGAGATCAAAAATGCCAGTCCTCATCAACCTATCCTTTACCTGCCATTAAAGAGTAGCCACTGAGCAAGAGAACAGTAAGGTTAATCTGCTTGACACTGGCCATTGCTCATAATCACCAATTAGACAAGGTTTAATTTTCTAGTTAGGTCTTATTTTGGGGTAAACATGGTAGCAGACTCAGAAAATCTAAGTACCAACTGTTGTGCAAGCCTTGGCCTTGACCACACCTGGACAGTTACCTCAGACAACCTCTAGAGGTGATGCGTGCTTGTAAATCCTACCAGGCACCAAGAGGGCAGTTCATTCCAGACAGGAAGCGGCCCAGGTACTCAAGAGGGACAAGGGACAAGACTGCAGTGCCACTGAGCTGGCAGCAGCTGATGAGCAAGGAAGCTGGAGGGCCCTAAGGTCCAGTGGTACAGCCTAACAATCCCAAGCAGCACTTGGCCTGGTCACCAGTCTCTGAGGTGAATCCCAGTTCAAAGAAACCTGGATCCCCAATGTCTGGTCATGGCTAACCCACAACAGGTGTTCATTAAATATCTGTCAAATACACACATGAACTGAGCTGACTGTGGCAAAGGAACGTTCAGAGGGAGCTTCCCCACAGGAGGCAGGGAACTCACCCTTCAGAAGATTCTTTTATTAAAACTGGGTGACACTGATAAAGGGACAATACAAAAAAAAATTTTGGTCCATGAAAAAAACATAATTCAGTTAATAAAAATTTATCTTAAACAGAGACACTGTGTAGGAGTGCTGAGCTTCCTCCCTGTGCTTCCAGAGAAGAGTCAGGCCAGGGCTCAGCCTCTCCAGGGTTATCCAGTGTCACTGGAGGTGAACCTTTTTGCTGGGAGGGTGGAAATATGGCAAGACGACAATGGGGTGAACACTCTGCTGTTCCCAGTGGCGAACAGGCAGGGATTAGGGGCAGGATGACATGCTCGCAGGAGCCTGAGGAAGGGTGGGGAAGCAGGGCTTTTGTCAGTTCTCTGGGTTCAGCTCATGCTGAGCAAAATCCCCATGCCCAGCTGTTTCCCACCCTGCTATGTGGAGTCTGCGAGTCTGGGATATGCTAACTTGGGGGTGGCACAACCCTGAAGGATCTGAGGCTCTCTTGGAAAGATGCAAATCCATCTCTGTTCCAAAGGGCCAAGATCTCGAGGTCCTGCTACCTGAGGGGTCTGAAGCTTTGAGGGCAGGGGTGGAGAGTCACAATCCTATGAGTCAGGGATACTGAAGTCACAAACTCAACTCAGAGCTGTTTTGCAGCCCTAGACGCTTTCACTCCTCAGTGCCCAGGAAATCACCAGTGATGATCAACAGGGCAGAGAGACAGGAAGACAGGGACGGCCCAGCACTTTACCCGTTTGACTTTAGGCCTATTTCTCCATTGAGGGAAGCAGCAAGGAGTGAACGAGTCATTCCTCCAAGCAACAGCAGGAAGGAACAGCCGCTGCTGGCAACGGCAGTAGCCCACAGTAGATCCCTAGGCAGAAAGGGAAAGGCAAGATTCCCCCACCCAAATACCTCGGACTAGGGCAGGTATGAGGGACAAAGGACAGTTACAGGGAGTGTGCAGGAGGGACCAACAGTTCAAGAACACACTCCAATACTGACATGGACCCCGACGTGGAGTCGACAGAAGCACTAAGACAGCAGGGCACTCCAGAGGGCTGGGGACTGACCTAGGGCTTGGTGGAGCCCAAGAACCAGGGTCCCTTTAGTGCTAGAGGGCAACAAGTGAAGGGAGAACTTGCTCCAAATGCACGAAGGAAGGAAACTAGATTCTGTTACCAGGAGGAGCAAGTCAACTAGCTTACAGAGTGCCACCAGGCCTGAGTCTAGGAGAAGGAAGTGACAGCTCTCAAGTCCTGGGTCTCTGAGGGCTGGATCAGTGTAGTTGGTCCCCTTGAAGACCATCTGGCCTTCGGCCCAGTCCATTCAGAGCACTGATTACTGCTACAGGTTCTCTAACGCTAGAGGTCCAATGCAGACCAAGGGAGGGCAGAGGCACATGGGAACTTTGTGGGGCAAAGGGAAACTGGGGATAGGAAGGGATGGGACAGGAGAAGAGGGTAACAGGTGTCTTGTGAGACAGAAATGTGAGACCCTCTTCCTTCTGGCATTGTCCTTGAACCAACAGCATCCCTGGAAGGCCCTAAGCAAGACCAGGGCAGGTGCTATGAGGCAGGCAGCACAGGGCCCAAAAACAGAATCGGCACAGCCAAATCAGGGCTGTAGGAGAAGCCCTATGTATTCCGGATTCCCAGAGCTTGCTCTAATTCTTGTCGTCTCTGTTGCACCTAAGGAGAAAATAATGGGAGTGGAAGATGAGACAGATCAGAAATTGGTACCTAGCACCGCTGACTCTCACCAAGCATCCAGACCCACTGCTCTTTGTCAGTTTCCCATGGCCCCGTGCACCTACCTTGGAATAGAAGTATCGGCACACAGCCTCCTGAGCCCAAGGCTGGAAGTAGAACTCAGCTCGGCGCTCTTCCTCTGGGTTACCCACCACATCGGTCATGGTCTAAGGGAGAAGTATGGAAGAAAATGGGAAAAAAATTTGTTTCCTGCCTTTTCATCTGTTACTGGTCAAATTTTATCACCCTCAAAGATGTAGAAATTTGGGGCTGGGGATTTAGCTCAGTGGCATAAGCACCTGCCTGGCAAGCAGGTGGTCATGAGTTCGATCCCCAGTACTCATAAAAAAGAAAAAAAAAGGGGGGCTGGGGATTTAGCTCAGCAGCATAAGCGCCTGCCTTGCAAACAGGCAGTCGTGAGTTCGATCCCTGGTACCGGTAAAAAGGAAAAAGACAAAAAAGAAAAAAAAGAAAAAAAAAAAAAAAAAAAAGATGTGGAAATGTGAATCCCTTAGTATGAGTGAATGTGATCTCATTTGGAACACGGTTTCTGTAGCAATCAAGATGAAGCCATTAGGGAAGACCCTAATCTAATGTCTGGGATCCACAAAGAGGCAGTGTGGACACAGAGGCAGGTGCACAAAGAGGACAGTTAAGAAGACACGTGGAGAATGTCATCCATACATTAAGGAGTGCCCAAGACTACCAGAAGCCTGCAACAAATTCTCCCTTACCATCTCCTAAGGAACCAAGCTAGCTGCCAACTTCATTTCAGACCTGTAGCCTGCACCACTGTGAGACAAAATCCTGTACTTCAAGCCATGCAGCTGATGCTAGCCTGCTGCAGGAGCCCCAGCAAACTAAAGCAGTGCCCAACCACTTCCTGCTATTCACAAGTCACTGCCTGATTTGGGGGCCTTGTAGCACTCCTTGTCTCTTGCACGTCTATCCAGTCTGTTGTTATAGGAACAGCAACCACAACCCAAGAACCAAGCGCATTTCACACCTACTGTGCCCATGCCTACCGTCTCACCTGAGCTTACAGTGCTCCCCTCTAGGAAATACCTTTTTGGTTTTGTTCTTTTGAGACAGGGTCTTGATACATAATTCAGGCTGGCCTTGAACTCACTGTGCAGCTGGATCTGAACCCATGGCAGTCCTTCTGCCTCTGCCGCCCAAGTGCTGGGATTACAGGTGTGGGCTACCACGCCCAGCTGGAAATATCTTCAGATTACATGAAGACTTCCTGAATGAGTATGGTCTCACTGATCTCCCTTCTCCTTTAAATTATCTTACGGGTTCTAGTCAATTTTGATAATGTCTCACAAGGCTGTTTTTTAATCATGTTAGCCTGATCTTTCCAAATAGAATGCATACTACTTTGAGAGCAGAGGTCAGGCATCCCTCTCTCAGTATGAGCACAATGATAGCACTAAGAACTAAATGGACACAGCCTCCCATTCTCTATTGTGTTTTTTTCTTTTTTTCTTGTTTTGGTTTTTGGAGACAGGTTCATGCTGTGTAGTTCAGGCTGGACTTTCAACTCATGGCAATCCTCTTGCCTCGGCCACCCAAATGCTAGGATGACGGATGTATATCACCATTGCTAGCCACTTTCCCTACTTACTGTAAAATGGCCCCTTGGATGTGCTAAAGGAAAATACAGTCTCTCGAGTCCCTTTCAACCCTTCTACCAGTTGGACAAAGAAAAAGCAGACGTGCACCTCAGTGAACTGTCTCTGCAGGCCCCTCTTGGGTTCTTTACCTTGAGGTCCCGGCACTGGGACTGAAGCCAGTCATTGATGAAACCCTGAGGGTCTCTGGCGAAGCTCAGCATGAACTCTCGCTGGGTCTTCAGCTGGTTGATAGTTTCTATTGTCTCATGGATCTAAAAGGAAAAGGGACACTTACACAATTTTTTTGGTACCAGGGATCAAACTCATGACCTTGTGCTTGCCAGGCAAGTGCTTATGCTACTGAGCTAAATCCCTGGCCCACTTACACCATTTTCAAGAAACACAAAGTGAAATGACAGTGCCCAACACCTCTAGGTGCTTCTAGTCCTTTGCATTCTTTCAGCAGATGACATGCATTTGTTTCTGTCTATCCCATCTGAGGCAATTTTATTTTAAATCTCTATCTCATACTCAAGTCCAGCACCACGGACAGAATCATGCGTACCTAATCTCTAGTCTGGAATCCACTGCCTAAATTCCAATTAACCTAATGCTTTCTTGATTTAAGACACCTTTAACTCAGTATCTCCAAAACTAACTTCACTCCTTCTCTTTAGCATCTAACTCCTCTTCTTAGTCTTTTTTTTTTTTTTTTGTCTTTTTTGAGACAGGGTCTCGCTATGCAGTTCAGGCTGGCCTTGAGCTCACTTTGTAGCCCAGGCTGGTCTCAAACACTCAAGTATTCTCCCACCTCAGCCTCCCAAGTGCTGGGATTACAAGGGTGAGCCAACACGCCCGGCTCTCTTCTTAGTCTTAATGCATCCTAATTTCCACCCAAACCAGAAACCAGGGAGTCACCACCTTGCTTTTTTCTCCTATACCCTCATGCAACCCTTGGCCAAATCCCTTAATTCCACTCTGACATCTCTCATTTCAGTCTATTATTTCCATCCACACTGTCCAAAGATCACATGGTTTCCCAGGCTTTCTGCCCCCAAAACCTGCCCTCTTCCAGCTGTCTACCTTCCCCTAAGTGGGCATTTTAATTCATACAGCTCCAGCACCTTCACTGGTGAGCTCTCAACAGGCTCCCTGTCTTTATCTGCAAGATAAAGTATAAAACTAGCTTTCCCTGAACTGAAGCTCTATTAGGCTCCTGCCTTCCAACTCAGCTTCCTATCCCCAAGCATCCTATCCCTGGCACCTGCACTTTTTCTAGCACACCAAATGCCTTTGATTTCAATATGCTAGGTTTCCTTTCCTCTTTGGAGTTTTACATATGCTGCTCCCTGTTCTGGAATATCCTCCACCTCCCATAATTCTGACACTACTGTCCTTCCTCCCCTGTTGTTAACTCTCATTTTGTCCTTCTAGGTTGACCTTGAGGCATTTACCCTCCTGGGAAAATCTCCTCATTCCCCTTTGTATGGGTGGAGCACTTTAGGCTTTGCCTGCTGGGTCTATGCCTAATGTTAAGGGTAATGATGATGAAAGCAGTAACAGCAGGAGTTACTCTTTGCTATTTTATGTGCCAAACAATTTCTCTTGCCTTTAAACACATTGTGATTTCATATTTATAACACCCTTATAAGAACAGAACAGTGGTACCTTGGTTCACGAACTTAACTTTTGCTAGGTTTTTTTTTTTTTTTCTTCAGTTTATTTTGAGACAGGTCTCACTGTAGCTGGCCTTGAACTCACTTTGTAATGCAGGCTGGCCTTCAACAGGCAGCAATCCTCCTGCCTCAGCCTTTTGAGTGCTGGGATTACAGGCATGCGCCACCACATCCAGCTATAAACAATTTAGTTTATAGTTTATAGTTATTTTGGAAAAGAGGGCCATGTTTCTGTTTATGTGGAAAGACAGTCACAGTTGTGTTTGTCACCAAATATGCAGTTTGCAAATGAAAAATTTTGCCAAATGTTTCTATTTGCAAACCAAATTGTTTATAAATGACAAGTATTCATGAACTGAGATACCTGTGTATTATGGTCTATTTCACAGATCAGAAAGGCTCAGTGTTTTAAAAGTATGGCCAGAACAATTTGTAATAGATAAATCTTGGAAACAGCTCAAATGCCCATTAACCAACCAATGGATAAAGAAGATGTGGTGTTTTTTTGTACCAGGGATCAAACTTATGACCTTGCACTTGCCAGGCAGGCTCTTATGACACTGAGCTAAATCCCCAGTCGTGATATGGGTTTTTTTAATAAAATGAAATATTACTCTACCATAAAGAAGAACAAGCTTGGGACATTTCTAGCTAAACAGATGTACCCTGACATCATACTGTTAAGTCAAATAAATCAGACACACATGTGAATACTGCACTGTTTCTCTGGTGTGAGAAACCAACAGTGTAAATAAGGGCAAAAATGTATAGTACATATTGTGAAGTAGGAAGAAAATGTTCAAATGGGAAAGGGAACTGGGAGGGTAGGAGGGGGAAAAGAAAAATAATGATGAGAAAAGAAGAAAAAAAAAGGAAATGAAGGTTTTATAAATAAGGAGGGGAAGGCCAGGTGTGGTGACATATGCCTGTAGTCCCAACCTATAATCCCACCAACCTGTAATCAGGAGGCAAGAGGACTGCTATGAGTACGAGACCAACCTGGGTTAAAAAGTGAGTTCAATGCCAGCCTGAACTGCACAATAAAACCCTGTCTCAAAAAGATAAAATAAAACAGAAGAGGGGTTAAAGGGTAGGAGAATGGGAAATAAAAAAGAATCAAGTTATATCAATGTACACATACAAATCCCCTATAATGAATGTGGTCATTGGATTGGGGATTTAGCTCAGTGGCATAAGCACCTGCCTAGCAAGCACAAGTCATGAGTTCAATCACCGGTACCAAAAACACAAAAACAAAACATGAATGCGGTCATTATGTATACTGAAAATGTACCAATAAACTTAAAAAAAGAAAAAAAAGGTATGGTCAGAATCAGAACTTATGTGAGTTTGCCTCTAATCAGCACAGTGCTTGACATACACTGGGTGTCAATATATTTTGAATGAAAACTGAGAAGCAAAATGTGGCCTAGAAGCTGTGACAGGGAACTGGTGGCACCCAAACTATCCAGGGCAGAAAATCCTACCTTGTTGTCTAAAGTAGCGATCTCCTGCTGACTAGCAGTAGACAGCAAAAAAGAATTCATCTGGGTTTTCAGGGTATCATCCACTTCCACATCAATGTCATAACAAGCTGTCTTTTTCTGGTCATTTGGGTCAACACTAGAGAGAAAACCAAAGAATTCTGGTAAAAGGGGTGGCCCCCCAAAACCAAGTTACACAGAACCAAAAAGATGGCCCAAGGATGAAGGGAGAGGAGACTGACAGGAAAAGGCCCAACAATTTTTGGGTACAACAGAAATATTCTGTACCTTCACTGCGGTTGTATCTATATAGAATGTATTTCCTACCAAAAGTCATCAAACAATATTTCAACTGGAAAAAAAATACTAAGTACAAATAGAATACAAAGTACAAGTTCTACCTCATTAAAGTTGGTTTTTAAACAGGTAATAGTAAAAATTCGAATTATACAGAACAAAACCAGTGAAAAATAATTTCTTTCCTCTCTAAAAGAAACCACTGCTACAAGGTCTTATACATCTTTTTTCTTTTTTAAACTAAAATGTCCAAAATAAAATCAAACAAGACACACATACATGTAAAAAGTGATTTAAACATAAGAATTCAGGACAGACCAGTTTTGGGGTTTCTTGGTTTTATTTTGAACCCAGGGCCTTTGTACTGAGAGCTATATTACTATCAGTCTCTTCATTTTAAGTTTCAAGGTAGAGTCTTGCTAAGTTGCCCAGGCTAGGCTCAAACTTGCCACTATGCCCAGCTACAAACCAGTTTTTATGAACCCAACATATAGCATGCAGGAGTTAGGTAAGTGGTGGCTGAGGGCCTAAAGAAAGGCTTTATCAACTTAAAGAAAGGCTTTATCAGACTTAAAGCAAAAGGAATTTTAGTGCACACCTATAATCTCAGGCAGGAAGATCCTTTCAAGTGCAAAGCCAGCCACAATTACACAGCAAGTTTAAAGCCAGCCTGGGCAATACGGAGAGATGCTGTCTCAACAAAACAAAGCAAAACACAACAAAACACAAAAACAAAAAAAGAATAGGACAGATGCAATACTCAACAAAGACATGCTGCTTTGAAGAAGTTCCTCTCTGCCTAGATACCTTGCTCTGTATTTTCTAAACAAAAGAGCAAACAGACGAAATGGAGTCTCTGGCTGAAATGCTCTACCATCCAGAGATGCCTGTTGGCCCCTCCTGTCAGCTATAAGCTTGTAAAAGTTAAAAACTGATCCTGTAAAGGATGGGGCTCTGATGGGCAACTGTTTGCTGATTTCTAGCCACCAACATTCCATCTCCAGGCAGGGAGTTGGGAAGAGCTGTGCCACAGCACATTACTATGTAACAGTATTTCCATCACCCAGATGAAGCTAACCTTGACAGTGCAAATACCAGTAAAATGTAGTAACTGCGAAGCAGTAAGTTTTAAGTACATGTCGTGTAGACTTCTAGGATGATAAATTTAATTGTAAATTCATATAATTTAAAATAACAGCTGCGTCTACCTGTTTGCAAAGTCCCTGAATGTTTGACACTAGCTGTGCAAGCTACTATAAGCCAGCTCTAATACACTCACAGCCTCAAAAACACAGCCTTACCTGATGACATGATTAATGATAATAGGTTCTGGTGGCATAAGCAGGGCATGCAACCTTTGAGGGATCTCTGAAAACTTCATACGTTGAGACTCAAAGATCTGTGGCAAGACAAAAACAGCTAAAAATTGCCATTTTGAGTATACTCAGTACTCTAATGGATTCTAGTAAAAGAATGGGTCCTTTACTTACCTGCTGGAGGTACTTGTCACAGATGACAAACTCCCGCTCATGAGGGTCCTGGAGCTTATGTGTCTTGATATATTGCCATAGTGCTTGGATAATCACTGGACGAGTCTGGGTGTGGATACCCAGGAGCCGAGCCAGACGAGGGTCTAATTTAAACTGCGGAGGCTGCAGGGAATAAAAGGTGTAAGGGATTAAGCTACCAGGGTTTGTCTATGTGCATTCTAGGGTGTTTAGTACAGCAACAAAGTCTAATCAGCGAACATTAATGCAGTGCTTTTCCTGGGGCAGAGAACTATTGGTAGGAACTCATGAGATAACTGAGAATTATCCCTCTGACAAATAATTTGCAATTAGACTTAACCCCTTAAGTCAGACTCCTGTTGGGACCTGGGGTGAAAGCTGGACCCCTTTACATTTCCAAAGATTACCTGGTAATCCAGCATCAGTAGAACAGTACACCGTACATTCACATCTCCGGGTCGCTTCACCTGGAAGCCATCGGTCTCCTGTGTAGTGGCGGTCCTGTGCCACTACAGAGAGGAAGATGTCAAGGGCTGCTCTTCCAAAGGAAGAGCCAGGGCAGGAGGGAAGAGCTTCTGTAATGGCTGAACATGCAACTTTGATTACTGAGGCTACTGGAGAAGAGCAAATAGCATGAGGCATTCCTACAAATTACATATGGCTTTGAGATTACTGTCTGTGTCTAAGCAGATTAATCTTTTAATTCTGAATGCTTGGGATCACATTTGAATTAGCCTGAATTTCCAGAGGTAATTTTATCCACAAAATGGGCAATACATATGTGAACAGAAATATAACATAAAGACTGAATACTTAGGACATGTGACAGTATTCTAAGACATTTACTTGGATTATCATTTAATTCACAAACATCCATATAATTTGCAGATGAGAAAACTAATGCTTAGAAGAATGAAGTAACTTGCCTAGGTCAAATTGCCAGAAAGTGGTGGAACTGCAATTTGAGATTTAGTATATCTGACTCTACAGTTCACATTTTTAGCCACTACACTCTACTGCTATAAAATTAAATAAATTTACAAATTTCTACTGATGCTATGACTTACTTCCCTTATTAGATGGTAAAGACCTTCTCATGTCTCTTTAGTGGTTGAGGTTAAGGGGCTGCAGCTACACTGGCAAAGAAAGGAGTAGGTTAAGTTCATGTGCAGTACTGCACTGTCATTCTGATTGTTTCTCAAAGAACACTGCTCCTAACATGGGTTTCAAAACACTGTGCAATTAGGCACTGGTAATAGGCTTTCTATTGATTTAAAATGTGATTCTAAAGAAGCAGGGACTACAAGTTAGTCCCAGGTCCAAAAAGGTAACCTAGGCAAGTACTACTATGCTACTAATCAATCCTTTAATGATAACAAATGCTACAGCAAAAAGTATGAACAGTTTGTTGTAACTACATCTAACAAGCAAGATGCAGCGAAGCGTTGGCATGGAAAAGAGGCCTCCATTAGCATTTCCCTTGAAAGTGGGAGCAGTGGCCAGGACACTAACATTAAAAATGTAGGACAAATTAGATTGCAAGCTCTTGGGTCCAAATTAAACACAGCTAGTGACACCTTCAGGTCAATGTATAAACTGCACTGGTAGAACTGTGCACCTGGGGTAACTATTTTCTAACTGTCCCTCTCCCTAACTGTTCATTTGGCTCCCAAATCATCCTGCAGTCACAGCATCAAAGCCTGGAAGACAGAAAAACTCACTTCTACCAGATGGTTGTCTGGTCCATACAGGTCTTTGTCCAATTCAATCACCAAGGACTTAAAAAAGGAAGAGAATTTCCTCTTTTGTTTGGTGGCATCATATTTGGACAAGGCTGACTAAAAAGAAAGAGGAAAAGTAATGTTAGAAAAGGCCAGGAAAAAAACCCTTGAGATAAAAGTCCTGTAAAAGAAAGGACTGCACAACAATGGGGAAAAAACTCAAAAATGTCTTCTAAATATCTCTTAGGAAATGGTGAGACAGGAAT